AAAATCAGCTGAAACTAGTAGAATGAAATTCAGCAAAGACAAATGTAAAATTCTACGTTTAGCCATTAATGTAGCCATTTATTTAGCCATTAATATTTAGAGGTATAGGAAGAAGAATATTTGGCTTGGCAGTAACATATGTGAAAAGCACCTTGGGGTGATTGTTAATTATGTTGAATACGAGCCAACAATGTGGCACTGCAGCCAAAAAGGTTAATAACTGGGGTGGCATACAGGGAGCACACAACTCCCATGTTGTGTCAGCTCCACTGGTTGCCAGTTTGCTACTGAGCACAATTCAAAGTGCTGGTTTTGGCCTATAAAGCCCTAAACGGCTCCAGCCCAATCTATCTGTCCAAACTCATCTCCCTCTACGAACCACCGTGGAGATTAAGATCTTTCGGGGAGGCCCTGCTCTCTGTCCCGCTATTGTCACAGGCACGATTGGTGGGAAAGAGAAAGGGGGCCTTCTCAGTGATTGCCCCCAGCTATGGAACTCCCTTCCTGGCAAGATCAGCTCCCTCCCTCCTGTCCTTCAGAAAGATTTTGAAAAACTTGTTGTCTCACCCCCATTCTTAACTATGAGTCATTTGTAACTCAGATGTTTGTAAGTCAAGGACTGTATCCCAAGAATGTTTCAGATGTGTTTTTATTAGGACTTACCTAGATTCACAGAACTTGAGATATTTATTAAAAGTTAATATGAAAGAAAGGGAAGCAAGTAGGTTTCATCTAATTTTAGGGACCACATACGACCAAAAAAAAAAAAAGATAAATTGTGTTAGCACTTTCCTCACATTTACATTTGTTGGGGATGTGAGAGAGGCTCTTCTTGGTGATGGATTGCAAACTTTGGGACTTCCTTCTTGTAGAGGCTAATCTGACTCCTCCAACCACTTTATTCCAACAGACTTTTGGGAACTAATTATTTTACAAGAAGGGAGTGTGGGGGTATGTATGGGTGTTATACAGTGCTATTTTTAACCTTTGCTTATTAATGCATATGTTCTAAATGAGTTTTTATTCCAAAGCCAGTTTGCATATTAAGATAGCATAAATTTCAGTGTGTTTTAATCTCTGTGGGTTTATGCTTGTATTGTATTTCTTTTTATCTTATAATCCACCTAAAATCCCAGCTGCAAGGAAAGAAAGTGGTGTAAATAAACCAATACAATATAATAGAACAAAAGAGAACCAAAGAAAGGATTTTGCATAAGATTTGTAGATTTTAATGAAATATTTAAGGATACAAATGTGGGTGTCTAAGTAGAAATCAAATTGATGACCTCAAGTTAGTGAGTTACAGTGGTGTACAGTGGACATATACCATTGCAGTGTATCCAGCTATAGGAGAATAGACTGGATACATCCCTGTTGCTTCAAAGGTGTTTTGGAGGAGTTAACCTCAAGAGATGTAGTTGCAGAGGCATAACTCTGGAAACACATCCTATCCAGGATCTTAGACAATATTGATTTTCTTCACAGTGGAGAAGACTATGCCCTGTATTAGAAATGACCTATGTACTTGCTTAGTCTTTTCTTCATATGCTGTGTGTTGGTGGGCAACTTCAAAGCTCCCTCTTGTCTAGAGCTTTAGTTATTCTTTTTCCATTGGACTTGGGCTGGAAAGCACAGGGAAGCACTATCACCACCATGGTGTTTGTTTTGCTCTCTGTGCCCCTGTTCAGAAGATTTCTCCTCACTTTCTGTCCCTGTGAGAATTGGATTTTGAAAAATTTGGCTTGTGGTGGAAACAAGGATTGGTGATAAAACTTCAGTGGAGACACGTTTTCCCCATTACAACTGTTTTAGATGTTATCATGAGGAAAGGGCAGATTTCTCTCACTTCCTCTCGTTTCATCCCCGTTCTTAACTGAGTCATTTGTAAGATGGATGTTTGTTACTCAGGGACTGCCTGAAAACAATCTGAGAGTAGGATGGTTGTTTTCCTAATTCTACTCTGGGAGATGCACAGGCTCTCATTCACAATAAGACTGTTTGACTTGGGAGGGATATAAACGCTTTTGGGAACATTGTGGGAAATTCAGTTGTAAGATCTGTTTCCCATTAATGGCATAGCTTTTTGAAGTGCATTTACAGTTGTGTGCAAATATTTTGTTAGGATTGTTTGCTATGTGGCTCTTCTAGGGAGAACCATCAGAGAAGGATGTTATTTCAGTCTGTATTATTGTTGGAACTGAATCTGGATTATGGCTGGAATCTTGTGGGTATTGGGACATTGGAAATGTGGGTATTGAGTCATTGTAGAAGTAGTTATTCAGTATGTCCTTATGTAATATTCCATCCCCTCACCCAAAGCAACTTTTCGGTGCTTATGTGCACCCCATGACTAGCTGCAGTTCTAGCTGCAGTCTCTCTGCTCTCCTCTCCCACTGACATCTCTGTCATGTGGTGCCCTGATGTCCTCCCTCTTCAGTCCTGCAAGGAATGTGCTGGCACTGAGAAGCTGCCTTGCGTCACAAGCAAAAGAGCATAATCTGTGAGTGTTATTTATGATTGTGGCCAATTTTTTCCTGGCTGTACCATATCTGTGTCAGAATCAGACACCGGAGTCATTGCTGTGAAACACTTTTGGGAGGGAGCTATTTTGAGTAGAGAAGTGATGGGGAGAGGTGATAATTAATCTATTCTTGTCCCCAGCCATTTCCTTAAATTAAAAATACAGTCATAGGATCATAGAACCATAGAGCTGTAAGAGACCAAATGAGCCATTCAGTCCAACCCCCTGCCATACAGGAAGAGTACAATCAAAGCACCAGTCAGCCCTCTACATTTGTGGGTTTGACTCTACTGTGATTCTGTGGTCCCTTTCTCCAGAAGGTCACCCTACAGTCATGTGGGAGGACCTAAAGAAAACACCTCCATGTCATCAGTGGTGTGGGGAATCCAGCGCCCCACACTCTGCATCGCCCAGCTCCAGTAAAGGGTGATCCCATGGGGGAAACATTAACCATGTTGCTCCTATGCATCCCATGTTGCTGCAGCAGCAGCATGACCCGGCTCCACCCTACTTCACCCATGGAGTTCCGCCAGAGTCATTTGATGGGGGCCAGCGGGCTCCGTGGGTTACCTGGGCTGAACCAGCATATGCCACTGATTTTAGCCCTTTGTGATGAGGTCATAAGTCCTCCAGTGCAATTCTATAGCCAGTTCCTGTCAGAAATATTAAAAATTAGGTATTTTTAATTACAAAAATGTCAGTCAAGCACTGAAAGGGTTAAATGGATGCAATGACTCAGCAAAAGCTGCAGTTCAATATAAGCAGGTATGCATGTAGCTTAGTAGGCTTCAGTGTTAGTTCCCATTAATGTAAAAGAGGCATCAGTCTGAGGTAGCCCTCTGTGTGAGAGAGACCTTGGTGGAAGAAAGGCCACAGTATCAGAAGGCTTCATGTGTGAAGCTCCAGTGTGAAGGCTAAACTTTATTTGTGTTATGGAAACCTTGTTTTTGTAAATAGGGCAATCATATTATTTTGCTATATAGAAAGGTCTCCTATGGAAGAAATAAGATTGGTCTGTGTGTTTTTCTTCTTTTTATCATTTCTGGCTACTGGTGCTGGGTTACGCTGCTACTAATAAGTTACTCTACTAATAGGTTACATTTATGAGGAGGGTTTTTTGTTAATAAGCACTCACATGCTCAAACAGTTCCCATGGAAGTTTGAGCATGTTGGGGGACCTAGAAATTCCCAGAGACATTTTTTTTCTATTTGCATCTATTTAATTTATGGAGACACTATGCTTCTAACCGCAGCAAATGTATACACCCCTTGCTGTTTTGCTGCCCCCTCATAAAGTTTAAAGCACATGTGTGAAATAGAAAGTCATGAATTGAACAGCATTTTGGAGTGGAAAACTAACCAGCTGGGAATAGGTTAGGGATACACCCACAGTTCCTCTCCAGTTGAAGTGGTCAATATCCTACATTAGTTTATGTCCCAATGCCCTCCCCCAAAATGATCGAAACATCATTAATTCAAGCTCCAATTATTGGCAGAATGGACCTCTTTATATACATTTTCATGTCAACTATTGTTTTTTCTCTGAAATAGCTAAAGTCAGCAAGTTGTAGAATTGTAGTATTTTCACAAATATTCTCGTCAGCATTTCACATGGTTTAGGCTTCCCTCTCTTGACGCCCTTACTGTTCTTCAAGGGCAGCCCCACATAGTGTGCATTGCAATAGTCCACTCTAGAGGTAACTAAGGTGTGGACCACTGTGGCAAAGCCAAACTTCACAAGGTACAGTCGCAGCTGGCACATTGGTTTTAGTTGTGCGAAAGCCCTCCCAGTCACCACCGAGAGTAGTTAGACAGAAAATGGGAGAACTGGCAACTGATTTTCCCTACCAATTTTCAATTTTAATCTCTCAGTAAGGTCTGTTTTATCTGTATCTTTTTTTAAAAAAAAAAATCTTCTACTTTTTATCTACAGTATTTTCAGCAATGGAGTTGGGTATTCTGTGAAAAGCTTGCTAGGGCAATTTGCACTATTCAACATATAACCGCAAAAAGAGTTATTTGAATTGAAGCAGAAATATTATAGAACTGTTTATATTTACCCTAATATTTGCATAATATTCATATGGAAACAGCTGCACTAGTTGAACTGAACAAGAACTCTGATTTCCCCATGTATACTTGGGATGGTGGTGTACAAAGCAACATACAAGTCTCCACTTAACATTTCAATGATTTTACATTTTTTTAATCCTATTCAGAGCTTGGGAAAAATGACTGCAAGATACTGGAAGCTGTAGTCTTTAAAAAAAAATCCAAGTTCTGGCCCACTACACAGTATTTGATCCTATTTGTAAAAGATCTGTTAGGTTTCATCAAATACATTCCCATCAAGCACAACTCTATTTTTAGCATTATATGTGATTATGTTGTTTTATGTAATATGTTCATTAATTCAGGTCTTCTGCTTTCCTTTCCAGTTACTACCGTCAGGAATGCTAATTTTTGTTTCATTTCACAGGAAACTGAATTTTTGGATATAACAAGCATTCGAGACACTAGAATAGGAAAATTTGCCAAGATTCCTAAGGTAAGTTTGTAGAATAATATGATGAGATAAAACCAGCTCATTCATGCAGAGCTCCAACATAGCACCAATTCTGCATAAGTATCAGTGGTTAGTAGGTCCTGCCTCACTCACACAAGCTTGAAAAACTTTTTGGTACTTTTTCATTATCCGAGTAGAGGCCAAAAGGGGATGCTAGACAGAGAAGAGTAGTCCATTTTATGGGGGGAGGGGGTTGAAGGAGCCGTCCTGTGTCCCCCCCCCCCCCCCCACCAACACACACGCACACATCGCCATTGTAGAAACAACCTCATTTATGACATCGGAATGGGTGGGGGATAACCAGCTAAAAAGGAGGAAATGTTTTTCCTCCTTCAGCTCCCCTCCCTGTAAAATGGACTATCCTTCCCTGTCTAGCGCCCCCTTTTGGCCTCTGCACAGATAATGGAATAGTATAACTTTTTAAGTTACAACTTCCAGATTTTCTATAATTTCCTGAATGGCAGAGGATTCTGATACTATGAGGAAACTGGAGTACCTTCCAATAATACAGTTCTTTTACTCTATGAGCTGTACTGATACTGGGAAGACGGTAATGTTTCCAAGCTCTACAATACAATTTGTGCATGACCCAAATAGATCGTGCAAAGGCTACAAGAATGACGATGCATGGAGGCAGACCTGTGTTCACTCTAGTATCTAATGCAGCAATGGGATTCATACACAAGAGTGGCTGCACTACAACACTCAAGTTCCCAAGTCAGTATTGTCAGTTGTGAAGAATTTTAGAAGGTGCAGTTCCTTAATGATTCAGGAAAATGCCAGCAATACATGTTGGGTAAACATGCCCTCCAATACATACATTGAAATTTTCTTCAGGGAAGGAAAGGAGGGAGGGAATAATATCCAACGGGTATTATTATTATTATTATTATTATTATTATTATTATTATCATCATCAGCCCTTTTTCAGTTTTAACTTTTGTTTCTTTGATTATTAAGCTAGCAGCCACTGACTATAGAGTCATGCCGGAAATTCCTTTATCTGTTGCCTCAGATAAAAAGTAAAGTAAAGGTAAAGGTGTCCCCTGACATTAAGTCTAGTTGTATCTGACTCTGAGGGGTGGTGCTTATCTCCATTTCTAAGCCAAAGAGCGGGCATTGTCCATAGACACCTCCAAGGTCATGTGGCCAGCATGATTGCATGGAGTGCCATTGCCTTCCCAGAGAAATGGTACCTATTGAGCTACTCAAATTTGCATATTTTCAAACTGATAGGTTGGCAGAAGCTGGGCCTAACAATGGGAGCTCACCCCACTCCCCAGATTCGAACTGCCAACCTTTTGATCAGCAAGTTCAGCAGCTCAGCAGTTTAACTCACTGTGCCACCAGGGGGGGGGGGGGCACCAGATAAAAAGTAGCATTTGTTTAATTTGTGGTTGTTGTTTTTTTCTCTTTCATGAAGGTGCTTCACTCCTATTCCCTGAAAAAGTAGGGTGCTAACTGTCATTATATTTTTAAAATATAATATAAGATGTTCTATTCTTGAAGAAACAAACTTCCATGTTGAATTTCAAGCAAAATAATGCCTTGGTTATTGCTTTTTGAAAAGGTAGTTTACCCTCACCTCTGCATTTAGTTTGAAGACACTAACATTTGCTTCCTCTTTGCAGAGCCAGAAGCTCCGAGAGGTTTTCAACTTGGATTTTCCAGAAAACAACTTCTTCCTCAAGACCTTGACAGTCGTTTCTGGTCCTGATATAGTGGACCTTACCTTTCACAATTTTGTTTCCTATAAAGAAAATGTTGGAAAGGTATGAGATGGGAGTGAGTGGGGCATTATGAAGATTCTGGGTTCTCTCCAGGAGTGGAAGGAAAGATGGGCATTTTTCTGTTGCTGGTTTATTTTGCTAAGTATGAGCAGCTAACTTATTTTGTTCTCTTCCTCAGCAATTCTACATGGGACCACAAGAGTAGATAAATGGAAGCAGTTGTGATATCTTGTTTCAAGTGCTTTATTAGGATATGGCCAACCTGAATTTTAATCTATGGTCTGTCATGATGGTTACTAGAGTTTTTTGAGACATCTCTTTTACTCTAACTTTATTTCACTGAATGCTTGAAATGGCCAAAACTTCATAACAATATAGCTGATTTAAGACATGCTCCTGTGGTGTGCTAATACAGCTTGTCTCTGATTGATGCCCAAGCTTCATATGATTTCAGAGATCTTATAATTGTGGCAGTAGTACATCTTAGCAGGCTTTTTTGCCCTGGTAATATCCAAGCACACCAGCTGCTTCACACAAGATTTTTTTTAAAATGATCACTTTGAGAATTAGTTCAGTGGAAATAAGCACTCAGTTACTAATATTCCGGATGAATTTTAATAAGGAATTAATTAGCTTATAAATAACAGACAACCCTAGGCCTATTAAACATATAAGACATAGGATCAAAAGAATTTGGTATAAATTAATGCGCCAAGATTCAAATATAGATACGCTAGCTTCAAAGGCATGCTTGATGTTTAAATTGAGTGCAATTCTATTTGGCAAGGTAGAATGCAGTCACATGAGAATGGTACAGGGCCTGATTGGTTAGGTAATCGTACTAAACAGATGGGATCGCTAGTTGCCTCAGATTAATTTGAGCCAATATAATCCCATAGCTGGAATATTCAAGTGGGTCTAAGGAGATTCAGGTTCAATTCCTCACTCAGCCATAAAGTGGGCTCATGAAAGCAAACCTACTTATATACTCATGTACAGGTCTAGAAATGTTAGTCAAGAATTGATCCAAAAAGCCTAGGTCAATTTATCAATGAGTTAATGTAAGTACTGCACCTTAACCAGTGTAAAAAAAAAAAAAAGGAACCACGGCTTTCTCAAAGTAGAGTGACAAAAGCATTGTTCATCCCATGAGAATCTAAAAAAAAAAAACATGTACAATCTACTGTGGTACAGCTTTTTGAATGCCTGGATGGGAAAATGGTGGCAGACAGGGCAGCTGGTCCCAAGATGGTGTGGCTGTTTTTCCACACCATAGAATCACTCTCAACTGAAGGAAAAAGAAGAGGAGAAAGAGGAGGAGGATTTTTTAACCTGCCTCTCCTCGAAACAGGGCACAACACAGTCAAAAACCCATAATAAGCACATTGTTGTAGCACTGTGGGTAAAACGAGAAAAAAACTTGCTGACCAGAAGGTTAGTAGTTCGAAGCCACAGGTTGGGGTGAGCTGTAAGCCCTAGCTTCTGCCAACCTAGCAGTGCAATAACATGCAATATGAGTAGATTAATAGGTACCACCTCTGCAGGAAGGTAAAATGTGTCCATGCGGCCATGCCAACAATTCGACTAGAAGGGTCTGCAGACAATAATCTCCTTGGCATGGAAAATGGAACAAGAGCACCTCTTCATGGCCAGAGTTGAGCACTGCCTCCAGACACCGAAGATGAAAAGGGAAACCTTTGCCTTTGTTTGCATGTTGTATGTCATTGTTGTTCGCTGTATAAAAGACATTGAATGTTTGCCTATATATGTGTATACTGTAATCCACTCTGAGTCCCATCAGGGAGATAGAGTGGAATATAAATAAAGTATATTAATAATAATAATAATAATAATAATAATTATACAACAGTATATAAAATACATATATTGAAACATATTTTATGAAAAACATATAGTAAAATAAACAGAACAAGGATTAAAATACAGTAAATTCAAGACATGAGTTTAAAATTCATAGTTTAAAATTGACTGGTAGGCCTGCCAGAAGAGATAGCTTTTCATTTGTCTCTTAATTTATCTGTGGGTCATATTGAAATGTATAATTTTTGCCCTTGACTTATACATGATATTCGGTTATATAGAAGTATATACGGCATGTCATAGGGCCTTTATGAAAATAAAATTAAGAGGGGAGAATAATTTATGCTACCTTAGCTTTGTGAGAAAAATTAGCTTATGAATGTATAAATTAATTCTGCTTTATTTAAATAATCTGATTTTGAACACATTTACAGAGAAATAAATATAATTTATTTCAATAGTGGTATAGATAGGATTGTGGTTTTAAAAAAGGATAAGCAGGTCTAGGAATAATCATTGGTTCCACATTGAACTACTGTAGTTGTTCAATGGGGACTGAAAAATTAGACATTAAAAATTGTTTTGAACTCCACTTTCCAGAATCTGCTACTAGCATGACCACCAGTGAATAAGAGAGTATGAGATGAAGTACAAAAATTATTTCCCCAGCCTCCATGAAAAACAGGTTTTCATTCTTTGAATTTGTATTTTTCCCCTTCTTTAGGATTGGGCAGATGATATTATGGCCATTGTTAGGAACCCATTTACATACAATGCTTCCCGCTACACGTTCCTGGAGAAAATGTAAGTTACTAATTGACTAATTGTTTAATGTCCTAGCTCATTCTGGTATTGGATTCTGATTATGACAGAAATGGAGCCAAACAGCTATACGAGGGGAGTCACAGCATTTGCAAAATTGCTAGTTAGCCTTTCATTAATAAGCAGGCAGAAAGACAGCTCACTGAAGATAGGACATCTCAGTATCTATAAATAATCATGAAATGCTGCCAGTTGGCAAAGGAAAACAAGAGTTGCAGGATAAAATGCCCTCTTTGTTCTCTTAGATTTTGTAGCAGGGGATAAGGCTTGTGTGATGTTTCTGATGTTGTTGGACTGCAAATACCATCAGTCTGGCTGGCCAGTATAGTCAACATTGAGGGATATTGTGAGCTGAAGTCCAACAACTAAAGGGGTGTGTCATGTTTTAGTTAGAGACTGAAGATGAGGGGATTGTTCAGTCAGATGTTATGAGGACTGATGGGCTTTCCAGGGTGGGAAATGAGTGGATTATAGATCACGATTCTGTCTGGGAGAATGGGTCTATGTCTGGTGAGAAACAGCTTAAGAGCAGAGTGGAGATGGAGATGCTGTGGCATCAGAAGATAGGGAGAACCTTTCCCCTAGTCGTTCCTTGACAACAGAAGATAAGGAGCTAGAAGGGAGAGATCATTCCCCTGGGAAAACAGCTGAGGTCAGTAGGAGTTGGAGGCTCAATCTCTGGAGGGAGCCAGATTATGGAGGTCACAGAGACTAAATGAGAAATTTTTGAAACAACAGAGCAGATGTCAAAGACGTGACCTCATGGCTTTGTGGTCCTTAAATTAAAGTGTTGTTTATTAAAAGGGTTAGAGCAGGCAACACTGTGTTACCGTTTACACCTTGGTCTTGTTCCTCTTTCAAGTCTATGTTTAAGTTCCTTGGGAAAGTTTTGTGCTCATGTTCATGGATTCATGTTTTGAAAGAAGTTCCTGTGAACCTGGTTATAGATTTATGCTTATGTTTTGATTCCTGATTTTCCATGTACTTTGTTACTTTTGAACAGAACTCTGATATATGGACTATCGCCTTTTATTTGCCTCTTTTCCTATTGCATTTTTGGAAATTACCTTTTGCCTTTTTATATTTGTTTGCTTCAATAAGCTGTTTAGTTAGTAATACTGGACTCTTGGGTGGTGCAAAGGTGAATCCAGGCCAGAATGCAACAGTATGTTCCAAAGCTTGGGAAAGTTGCTGTTCCAATCTACAGCTTCCCAAATATTCTAAGCAGGCACTTAATATATTCTGGGAGTTGTGGTTTTAAAGGAAAGTCTATGGAACACACCTTGCCCTCCTCTGACAATACAGCAACATATGTGAAGTGTAAAGCTTGAATCTTGAAGATGAGAATTACTATTAGAAAAGTTTTTACGTTGCATCTTTCTGTTGCAGACCAGTGATTTTTTTCTTTCAATCTATTTTATATTGACCATCTAAGGATAATAACAACAGGCAAAACCCTTGGTAATCAAAGGCTTTTAGAAGTGGGTGTGGTTCCCAGTGCCCAGTTCTGTTTAGACTGGGCATTGGGATTCAATTCCCAATCAAAGTTGGCTTATACATTTTCTCAGTCTTAATAAAGAAGGATTATAACAGGTCAAGACATTTCCTTGAGAAAATGATTGACTGATGTAAGATTTTTCCCATTCAGAGGATTTTGGGACCAGAAAACATGAGTTACAAGAGAAAGAGGTACAGGTTTTGCAGCAAGGATTTAGTCTTATAAAAAGTCTTGAAATGTGAACATTCATCAAAATTGGGGGAAACTGTCATAATTACATCAACCGGAGAGAGAAAACCTTTTGAAAATATCAATTCCAGTATGATAGAATGAAATTGGTTAAATTTTATATCCATACTTGGAATTAAAGTGAGCAGAGATGAGCATTATGGCAGTAAACAATTAAATTCAGAATCCTTGTTTATGAGAAAGATGTCTTCTTTGTTATAGTGCTAGCAGAAAAAAAGGCATAAATGCTCCAAAAGTAACAGATCCTGTCTGGTCTTGGAAGCTAACTCGGGTAATCTGTGGTTAGTATTTGGAAGGGAGACCACCAATGAATACTAGGTGCTTTAAACTATGGCAGTTTCTACACTGCCCTATATCCCAGGAACTGATCCCAAATTGTCTGCTTATCTCAGATTATATGACAGTAATTACTCATATAATCCAATTCAAAGCAAATAATCTGATATCAGATCCTGGGATATGGGGCAGTGTAGATCCAGCCATAATCTTAGAGAAAGGAACTAGACAAACCACCTCTGACTATTCCTTGCCTAAGAAAACCCTATGAAATCAATGGGTCACTATTAGTCAACAGCCAACTCGAAGACACATACCATAAATAAATCCCTTCTCCCTCCCTCATACCTTGCCTGCTGTTGTAAGTACTACAACGAGAAGTACTCATCAGTAGTTTTGATTGCTTTAGTAAGAGCAATCAGTAAACTGGCAATATGCTTGACTTTCATAAAGCAATTTCATTTCTGTTCATACACCAATGGTTCCAATTTCCATTCATGGTTTCCAATGATTGCAAATGCTATGACTCTGTGGAATTTGACAATTTCCTCAAGCAGCTTTTGAATTTAAATTCAGCTTGTAGTCTAACAACACTAATAATTCATTGATAGCTTTTCAAAAATAGCTCTCTCTGAGCTCTGAACAGTAACCAATAGATCTCAATAGCAATTTCGTAATTCCCACCTGCTGCCACTTTTCTCTCATTCCCTTCTTTCTTCTTACCTTTGTGAGTCACAAGGCCAATGAAGGCTTTGTCTGTTCTGATATTTTCTACAGACTAGTGAAGCTGAAGATGCAGCTGAACACTGAGGGAAAAATTCCTGTCAGAAAGTAAGTCTCACTTTTAATCCATATTTACAACAACAGTCTATTAAGAAGTGTTTCTAATAGTTCTGCCTATTACCAGTTGTCTTCTTTCTTTCCCAGTATTTTTCAAATGTTTCCTGCAGACCGAAAAAGAGTAGAGGAAGCATTAACTGCTTGTCACCTTCCAAAAGGAAAGGTGAGTAGCCTCTCAGCTATATGGTCCAGATTTCATCCTTGAACAAATTATTGTTGAAACTATAACATTTTCTAAACAATACCAGGCTTAGCACAGCAGCCTAAAACATTGTGCTGAAGAAAAAACCTGCCGATCAAAAGATTGGGGTGAGCACCTGCCGATAGCTCCAGCTAACCTGCCTACCTAGTAGGTCAAAAACAGAAATGTGAGTAGATAAAATGGGTACTGCTTTTAGTGGAGAAATAATAAAGACGCCCTTAAAGGATATCGATTGGAGGAAAACTCCTTAGCATGGAAGACTGAGTGACAGCACCCCCTGTGGTTCGAGTCGAGCACAGCCTCCAAAATGCCGGAAATAAGATGGGAAAAGCTACCTTGAGCTCTGTTTGTGTTCTTTGTCCTTGTTAATTATATAATGGGCATTGAATGTTTGCCGTATGTTTGTTCTGTAAACCGCTCTGAATCCCCGTTGGGGTGAGAAGGGTGGGGTATAAATACCGTAAATAAATAAATAAATTGCACGTTGATAAAAGCTGATCAACATTCCAGAGTGTGGCATGGACTATAATTCACAGAATTCACCAGCCAGCATGTGCACTAAGGAAGATAGTCCAAAAAAGTTGCTTTTCCAATTCAGCAATGTTTTTCCATATCACAGAACTCCACAATTACCTCATTACATTACAAACAATAGCTGTTGAAATCTCCTCTTCCACTATTAAAGACAGATAGGAGGCAGAATTTAATTATCCTTCAACAACATAGTACCAACACAGTTGATGGAAATCAAATTGATAGGCCCATAGCTCAACTAATCCCAGGATCCATCTGCACTGTAGAATGAAGGCAGTTTGACACCACTTTCATAACTATCATAACACAATGCAATGGAATCATGAGAGTGTAATTTGGTGAGGCTACTCTTTGGCAGAGAATGCTAAGGACCTTGTAAGACGCAACCACGGTGATTCCAAAATGTTAAGCCAGTGTAGTCAAAGTGGTTTCAAACTGCACTAATTCAAAGTCTATTATCCTTTTTCACATGCTCATCATAAATTGCCCTTTTCCCCCAGAATGAAGGCATCAATCCAGAAGACTTCCCCGAGGCAGTGTACAAAACATTCTTGATGAACTTGTGTCCTCGGCCAGAAATCGATGAAATATTTACTTCCCAGTAAGCCTCCTTTTTTCTTTTGGGAATGAGGGAGTCATTACATAGGCGAAAAGAGACTGTGAGATAAAAGGGGATTCTTGTAAAAATTTTATACCTTATTTTATTCTGGCACACCTTACGCTCACTGATAGATTGGTTTCATAACAACCTCTTTGCTTTGGAATTGTGTAGTCACACACTGTAGAAATCCAGCATGAATCTGATTGCCCAGCAATACATATTAAGTGGCAATGTGTAGAAACATTCTCCCCATGCCTTGCCACCATTTAATTAATTAGCTTTGAACACAATCCAGCACAGAACACAGTGTAATGGTTTAAATGTTGGCCTATGACTGGAGACCTAGGTTTAAATCCCCTCTTGGCCATGAAAACCCACTGGGTGACCTTGGGAAAGTTACATTCTCTCAGCCTCAGATGAAGGCAAAGGCCAAGCCACTCTGAACATATCTTTCAAAGAAAGCCCTGTTAAAGGCTTGCTTTATGGTTACCATAATTTGGAAACAATGTGAATGAAAACAGCAGCAACTTCCCAATCCAGTATTAAGTGTACATGGGTTGAACTAGAACCTAGCTTTTACAATAAATATGGCATCTTCATCTTTACAACGGCAGCTTCAATCTAGAATTCTCCTTTTAGTAAAAGGTCTAGTTATAGAATGCAAAACCTTCGAAGGAAATTATGTTTCTCATGTCACTATTATTTGACATCTGTCAGCAGTTTGAATCTGTGGGACAGGGTGAGCTTCTGTAGTTAGCCCCAGATTCTGCAAGCATAGCAGTTCAAAAACATGCAAAGGTGAGTAGATCAATGGGTACCACTTCTGCAGGAAGATAATGGTGCTCCATGCAGTTATGCTGGTCACCTGACCTTGGAGGCATCTATGAACAACGCCAGCTCTTCAGCTTAGAAATGGAGATGAGCCCCACCCTCCAGAGTCAGACTCAACTAGACCTAATGTCAAGAGGAAACCTTTACCTTTACCTTTTAGCATGAACCTAAATGTGGAAAGTTCTCACATTTTAATTTTGTCCTTCCTTCAAGGAACTCAGGAAATGTATTGTCAGAAGCTTTCATGTCCCGAATCACTGGGGTTTTGGGTGGTTTCCAGGCTGTATTATGGTCGTGTTCTAGCAGAATTTTCTTTTGACATTTCACCTGCATCTGTGGCTGGCATTTTCAGAGGATCTTCAGAAGATGCCAGCTACAGATGGAGGCAAAAGTTAGGAGAAATGCTGCTAGAATATGGCCATACACCCCAGAAACCACAAAAGACCCCAATTCAGGAAGTGCATAATCTCATCTTCACTTTCAAACCCCATTTATGCTTATGGTCGTAATTTACCAATTTGTAAAGTCAATTATTTTTATTTATTTACTTATTTATTTTGCAGTATTTATATACTGCCCTTCTCAACCCCGAAGAGGACTCAGGGTGGTTCACAATGTTGGCAACAATTCCATGCTATTGATAAAAAAAACAGTAAAAAAATTGATAGATGATAGATGATTAGACTGATATGAGATGACTGGCCCAGTGTCTGTACATGCACAACATGGTTAAATTGAGATCTAATCTCTTAAATCACACATATTGAGGGTGCATCTATAATTAATACAGTTTGACACCACTCTGACTGCCTTGGCACAATGCTATGAAATCTTGGGATTTGTAATTGAGTGGAGCACCAGCTCTCTTTGGTAGAGAAAGCTAAAGCCTTCATAAAACTACAGCATTCATGATCTCATAGCACTATGCCATATCAGATAAAATGGTGTCAAACTGCATTAATTATACCGTGCTGACCTTGAGCCTCAAAATATGCTTAATTTTCTGTTACAAATAATGACATATTAATTTTATGCTGATTTAACCTAATTTACATAAATAGGAATTTATAAGATATAGCCCTCCACTATCAAAACTTTGCTCATTCAGGAACTTTCCAAGAATTTTCATCTTTTCTATTCCTCCTCCTTCCATTGTATCTCCTCAGCCATTCAAAAGCCAAACCATACATGACGAAGGATCACTTGACCCAATTTATCAACAAAAAGCAACGTGATTCTCACCTAAATGATGTGCTTTTCCCGCCTGCAAAGCCAGAGCAAGTACAGCGTCTCATAGAGAAATATGAGCCCAGTGGGATGAATGTTCAGAGAGGTGAGTCCTTTCCCATCCAAATGAGTCTTTCTCGTCATGCAGAGGAACATCACACTTTCCACTTGTTGCCTTGGCCTTCAATAGTGGAAGAGTAATGGAAGGCCCAGAGAACAATTCTGCATTTCCTGCAGAACCTAACTACATTTAATTCTGTCTCTTGGATCTTTAAATGTAGCAACATCTGCAACATCTAGTTCCAGGAGTCAATAGCATACTATAAAAGAACATCCAAAGAAATTGTCTTCAGGCTCTTGTCCAGCAATAATATTGTTTTATTTTACAGGACAATTATCTCCTGAGGGAATGGTGTGGTTCCTGTGTGGTCCTGAAAACAGTATTATATCCCAGGATAAACTGTTGCTGTACCAGGATATGAATCAGCCACTCTCTCACTACTTTATCAACTCATCCCACAACACCTATCTGACAGGTGTGTCTCCCTACAAAAATATGCCCATATTTCACTATTGGGCCAGTGTTCCTTGCCCATCAATGCTAACTTGAAAGAAAGATCAATGGGGCTCCTTGTATTGGAACTGAACATGATACAGAAATAAGTATGGGACTGATTCCTTTGGCTGTTTGTTTGTGTTGTTGGTATTATTATATTTTACGATACATTTATATTATGTAATGGTAGGAATGTTAAGTTATCATTTGAAGAATGTATTTTGACATAGGCCAAGGAAGGGCAAATTTTATTATTCTGGATACTGCTGGACACTTCTTAGCATTGTCTCTGCTGGGTCAGGGTGTTGGAGCTGAAATCCAGCCATTTGCCTATATCTGATGTAGGCTGAAGTCCTACTTACTATATGGACAGAAAGGTTGCCCAAGTTGCAGTGAGGAAGAGTTAGATATAAATCTAATAAACAGTTATAAATAGGAAAATAATGGGCAATTATTTCACTGGCAACCCATCTTGGGTTTTTCTGTTTATAACCCTACCAGTACCTGAGTCAGGAGACTTTTTGGTAGTGACCAAAAATGGTCAGGTGTGCTTGTTGTAGTTCAGAAAGCATCAGAGGATTTTCTGAAGGTTCAGAGGATGAGGGGGATGAAGGGGTTCAAAATGAGGAGACTGTGAGAGATCGGAGAGAATTGCAGGCAGATGAGGCTGATGTTTTGGATTCCTGTGTTCATTTAGTGGAAAGTGAAAGTTCCACTTCCCAGGGGAAATGCCTTGGGCAGATGGGGAGGTTTCCAGGGAGACTAGATTAGACATGAGAATGCAAGGAGTGGAAAACAGTCAAACTAGATATTCCCAGCAGATCCGAGATAAGACCCTGTAAGTCCAGATGTATCAGGCATGATCACATGGGTGTCTTAGAAGGCTTAAATTAAGTGGTTTGGTTTCAGGCCCCTCAGAGGAAACAATATTGCTATAGAAGTTTGTTCTTCTTCTCCAAGTATTCTCAAGTTTCCTGTGTTTGCCCGTGTTTCCTTGGAGAGTTTACCTTGGAAAAGTTCCTGTTCTCATGTTCATAGATTTATGTTTAGAATACTGCTGTGGATTTTGGTTTCTTTGACTACATGCTCCTTGTCATTTTTGGATTATTGCTATTTTGTATTTTCCATTCTACTGATCCTTTTGGAATAGCCATTTCCCCCTTTTTATCTGCATTCTTTAATAAACATTTTTAGAATTACTGTACTTCGGTGCAGTGCTGGTGGAGTGTTTCAGTGCTAGAGTGCAACAATGCTATAGTAATTACCTCGGTACTCTAGTGAAATCATTTCTATTATTATTTACTTCTTACATTTATCTCACACCCTTCACCAAATAAATGAAGTGGACCACTTCTTCCCTAAATTACCCAGAAAACACTCATGTCAGCGAGTGTTGTAGCTTGGAAGAGACTAGATTCCAGATCTGTTGAGTCCCAACATTTTAACAACACCAACAATTAAATACTGTAGCATTTTAGGTTTGCTCCAATTGGCAATTGTTTTTGCATATTTTGTAGAGAATTGGGTTGAGATCTGAAACATCAATCTTCCCCTGTATGAAAGTAGTGTTTTCCTGTCTGTATGAAAGCAGTGTTAATAGGATCATGTATGAATGGAAAAGGAGAGAGGCAACCACTTTGTGGCAGAATGTGTACTTAGCATCCCAACAGTCTCTCCTGTTCTGACCTAGTTAAAAATGTTCAAGTGACAAACTATGAGAAATACACCAGATCCCGAAGAGTCACTGCCAGTCAGAGTAGAAAACAATGGGTTAGTTGTACCAGTTGTCTCACCAGATTTAAAGTGATTTCCTATGTTTTTCTATATTTAAAATATTTGTGTACCCAGATGTCAGTTTCCATTCTCATGTCCAACAGGCATAGAGAAAATATGGATGCAGATACAACAGATTTTCTTTTTATTCTATTTTTGTTTAAGCTGGCCAGTTTTCGGGAATTTCATCTCCTGAAATGTATCGCCAGACTCTCTTGGCAGGTTGCCGCTGTGTGGAACTGGATTGCTGGAAGGGCCGCCCTCCAGACGAGGAGCCCATCATCACCCATGGATTCACCATGACAACTGAAATATTCTTCAAGGTACAGGACTTTCTCGGGAGGTTTTTTATTGTTTGTTAATTTGTTCATTTCCATTTTTGTTTTACTTTCTAATACCTTTTCAAGTGTGTCTTGTGAATTTCAGAACACAAATGGAAAGTCCTGTATCCAAATAGTAAATATGTAATATTACCCTAAAAATGAAGACTCGGTGGGAACAGCGTAAAATGCATAAGAGACATACACTTTTGAATGAAAAAGGCTGGAGGAAATTGAATAGTTTCCATCCAATTCAAATGGACCAGTGGCAAGAGATGGATCGATGGTATCCTTGAAGTGACTGGCTTGACTTTGAAGGAGCAGGGGTGGCTGTGGCCGAGGTCAACAGGGAGCTCTGGAAAGAGCTGGTCCATGATGTCATGAAGAGTCAGAAGCAACTGAACAAATAAACACCAACAATTCAGAAATGTCTCTGACAGAGGGCTCTTCTAGATGGCATCATTTTGATTGATTTGTGCCTCACCATTATCTAATATTGCTTAAATTTTTCCCCATGCAAGTTCAGCTACATTCTTCTGACCAACTCATTTTGGTTGATTTGGAAGTATCTAATGATGTGGCAGTTAGTCATTTTAAAGTGTTATAATTTATGTAACGTGAAAGACACCTAAGTTGCAAGAGTCTTCCACACTGGGTTGTTGTGAGTTTTCCGGGCTGTAAAGAAGCATTCTCTCTTGACATTTCCCCCACATGGATAGCAGGCATCCTCAGAGGTTGTGAGGTCTGTTGGAAACTAGGCAAGTGAGATTTATATATCTGTAGAATGTCCAGGGTGAAAGAAAGAACTCTTGTCTGTTTGAGGCATGTGTGAATGTTGCAATTGGCCACCTTGATCAGCATTGAATGGCTTAGCCTTCGCCAATCATTGAATGTCTCCCACACTTTTTAATATCCTTTTTTTTTTTAAAAAAAATGTTCAGTTTCCAATGCCAGAGATGAACGACTGAGCAACTTTACCTATTCCACTTGGAGAGTCTTTGTGGTTTCCCAGAGAGTCCTGGGGCAAAATATTGATCTCCAGACCCACCATAGTTCCTCACAGAGATCTATACATGTGTTATTATCATGTGTAAATTAGTGCCCCCTTTGGCTGCTTTTTGGTTGATGTGATTCTTCATTTTCAGTAAGCTTGCAATCAGCATAATTTCAGCAGTGTGGTATGAATAAGAACAAACTACTCCTCCCACCCCAAGCTTTTCTTCTCTTTCATTATTTTAGTATCTAGCAATGTTTGTCATATTTAAACGTTTCTGGATCATGTGACATCACACCCTTATGCAGCACCATACAATTTGCAGAGCAGATAAAGGCTAGGGTACTGGAGTTCTGATTGCAGGGCAAGATTGCTGTGCACCACAACAGTGAACCTCACAAAAGAACTACGAGCCATTAGCACAGCATGCACTGTTCACTGGAGCTTATATAATGTATGGATCCTCCCCTCCCGCCAAAGGACCAGTGGGTGGAGGAGGAGGCAATTCTTTCCACGGTGGCTCTTTTGAAATGCAGATCAAGCACAGAGACACAGTAGGAGCGTCCTATCGTTATTATCTGCCTGCTCAATTAGAAAGAGATGTGGGAAATAATATGAAGGCCTAAACCATGTTAATCCCTGGTAAAGTTCCACTGGCTTCACCGGAACAGCATATCAAGACTCAGTTTTCGTGAGGAGAGACTTATGTGCTGTTGTACAAAACTAGGCTGCACACTTGCATGGTTCCATAGGATAAATGAAGCAAGAGAAAGAAAAGGATTATAACTGTAGAGAGAGGCAATGTAATCACCCTAGCCTGTCAATTACAAGTGCTGAGGGGAAAAAGAAAGAAAGTTACGCGTGGCGGAATAGCAGGCTTGCAAAAGTATTATTTCAAAATAAATCTCTAAAGCAGTGGTTCCCAACCTTTTTTTGGCCAGGGACCACTCTCCCACAGTAGTACCAAAAAGGTTATGAATCAGTTTTTGGTCAACTTTAGATTCGATTTGATTGTTTGGGTTTCTGATTCAGAAAATTGCATTGGATAGACCACATCAGTTCTAGTTTCTGATACAGAACATATATCATCCAGTAGTCGCCATCTGCTTGCCCACAGAAAACCATATTTAATAAGCCTCAGCACCATAAGAGGGTTTGGTAAGACTATGTAGTAACAGTGAGGCCATGGACCATATTTTAGTTCTTACGGACCACAGGTTGGACACCACTGCTCTAAAGCCACAAGAAAATATATTGTATTTGCTTCGTTAATATTAGAAATGTGATTTGCCTAAGGTCTACCAGTTTCCATGGCTGATATTCAAACCCTGGCCTCCAGAATCATAGTCCAACTTTCAGACCACGACACCATGCTGTCTCTTGCATAACCTGCCAACAGCTGAAAACAGTAATAGCCAAACAACATCAGAGTATGGTCAAGATGCAAACTAGAAGAGACTGCAGCAGATAGCTTTTGGCAGAGTCCAGAGGGAAGGGAAAGATTGTACCCTGCCTTTCCTCTTATGAGTGCTGAGTTGAGTACACTACAAATCATTTCTGCACATTGAACTGCGTTGCTAACAGTAGAAGTCGACTAAGTACAAAGAGAGAAAGTGGGAGAAAGAGAAATTGATTGAAACTCGGCTTAAAAAGTGGGAGGAAAGAGGATTAATCTGGACTGTCCCTGCCAAATCAGGACAGTTGACACATGTATATCCCAAAATGTTGCTCTTGGTATATTTATTTATTTATTTATTTAGAACTTTTATATACCGGTCTTCTCACCTCCAACGAGGGACTCAGGCCAGTTTACAACAAGGGGTTCATACACAATAATTTAAAAACACCACATCAATAATACACTAATATAAACACATTAAAGTACTATCATATAATTATATAAAGTACAGTTGTTAGCATAAAAGTCATCCCCATCTGTCCGTGTGGTCAAAAGCCATTGACTCACTCATCAAATGCCAGATTCCAAAGCCAGGTTTTCACCAACCTTCTAAAGGTCAGGAGGGAAGGGGCAGTTCTAATCTCCAGTGTTGGTCTGTATGGTTCACACTTGAAGCATTTAAATGTCAATATACCAAACATAAAGTATTAATTAATTGATATATGGTTGGGCTGTGATTGGTCACATTTTTCTGCAGAGCATATATTCAGTATGTTGTTGAAGGCTTTCATGGACGGAATCACTGGGTTGCTGTGAGTTTTTCAGGCTGTATGGCCATGTTCCAGAAGCTTTCTCGTCTGACATTTCACCCACATCTATGGCAAACATCCTCAGAGGTGACGTCTGTTGGAAACTAGGGAAGTTAGGTTTATATATCTGTGGAATGTCCAGGGTGGGAGAAAGAACTCTTGGCTGCTTGAGGCAGGTGTGAATGTTGCAATTGGCCACCTTGAAAGCCAGGCATTGAAGCTGCAAGGCCATTTAATGGTATCAAGGTGCCCAATTGTAACGATCACATGTGCCTCGAGCAGACAAGAGTTTTTTCTCCCACCCTGGACATTTCACAGATATATAAATCTCACTTAGTTTCCAGCAGACCTCGCAACCTCTGAGGATGCCTGCTATAGATGTAGGTGAAAAGTCAGGAGATAATGTTTCTGGAACATGGGCATACAGTCCGGAAAACTCACAGCAACCCATATATTCAGTGTTTTTAGGAGAATAAAAGATCCCTTAAGGTGTTAACAAAATGTAAATATGGAGAAACAAATCCCTCATATTAGTCATACTCTGACGTCTCTGGATAGTTGACACAGAAGATTGGAAGTGGACATGTTACATGTGAAAACCTGTATCACAATGGATTTCCCACAGCAATGGGAAATACAGATTTTGAAATTGGTTTAACATCCAATAATAAGATGTTTCTTGGCACTGAATTTACCAAAGTGCTTTCTTTTCTCCCCACTTTCAGGATGCAATTGAGGCTATTGCAGAAAGTGCTTTCAAAACATCTCCCTATCCAGTGATCCTGTCATTTGAGAACCATGTGGACTCGTAAGCATTAAGTATTTTGACAGGGAACAGATTGAGTTTGAGTGTGCATCAGTAGACTTAGAAATGCATTCAGTCAAGATAGGGTCATGCCTTAATGGGGTCCTATTACCAGCCTTCTTGAGGCAGATATTTAAGACTTGCAATGGAGAAAGTGAACCCCAAAATTGAGAGTCAGCTTTCCCCATTCACTAGTATGAGAGGGGTACAAGATCTCTGCAATAGTGGAAAAACTGCTAAGAAATTTGACCAGAGAGTTACATTGGAGCACCTAGGAATTCCTAGAAAGAATAAATCACACAAATAATCGAATCAGCAAAAGTTAAACTCACAACTGTGGAAGGCCGGCAGTACTGCATGGATTCTGGCCAGTCTACAATTAATGCTGGCTAAACTATCCCATGGAGCCCCCAGTGGCGCAGTGGGCTAAAGCACTGAGCTGCTGAAATTGCTGACCAAAAGGCCAGCAGTTCAAATCCAGGGAGCGGGATGAACTCCCATTGTTAACCCCAACTCCTGCCAACCTAGCAGTTCAAAAACATGCAAATGTGAGTAGATCAATAGGAACCACTTTGGTGGGAAGGTAATGACATGCCATGCAGTAATGCAGGCCCCATGACCTTGGTGCATCTATGAACAATGCCTGCTTTTTGACTTAGAACTTGGGATGAGCATCACCCCTCAGAGTCGGACACAACTAGACTTAATGTCAAGGGGAAACCTTTACCCTTAAAGTATTCCATAGACAGTAAATGTAACCTAGGATTCAATACATATTACTTTGGAACTACAAAAGGTATTGAATCTCTATGCTGCCAATAGTTTCAGGTGTTTCAATAGTTTCTTTATAGTTCTGATGGGAGCTCAAAGCAGATTCTTCACTTTACTGACTGGAACCCACCAGCCATTCCTGCTTATCTCAATTCAATGCATTCCTACCAGTGAAATGAAATTATGCTTGCTGTGAGCCTGGTGAGAATATTTAGTCCAAATTAATGTTTTGAAATTAACTAGAAGAAACAGCACCTTGTTTTAACTCTAATAATTGAATGTATATTGTTAGATTGTTACACAAATGTATGGAGGCAGAATTATACCAACATTTTACCAAATTTTTATACCAAAATTTTAATTTTAACAGGGACTTTGGAGTATGGAATAAAGATGTTGCCTGTCTTTTCTGCTAATATTCACGCTCCCCTTTTCTGCCACTTCTTCCTTTATTTCCCTAAAGGCCTAAACAGCAGGCTAAAATGGCTGAGTACTGCAGAAACATATTTGGAGACATGCTACTGACAGAACCGTTGGAAAAATTTCCTGTAAGTGAACAAGTCCCTTGAATTGCTGCACGGACAAAAGTCACTGTGCAAACTAACAGTAGGTTGTAGGTGCTGTTGTCTTGGCGGTCTAAGATGTGTCTGATGTGAGGAGTTACATAAGAGCAGTAAAACTCTCCAACATCAATTTATTTTCTTTTGGGGGGACAGTTAAAACCAGGCATTCCCCTGCCAAGCCCCCAGGATCTAATGGGGAAAATCCTGATCAAGAACAAGAAGAACCAGTTTATACCTGGGGATAATCAGGACACACTGAAGAAAGGGAAGGATCCAGAGGATGAAGTGACAAATCAGCCTGCTCCAATAGAGCAAGATGGCACAGGTACCACATTGTGAAGCAGAAGGAAGGGGAGCTCCTGGCCCTCTACCTGTTATTCCTATCATGCTTCAACTTTGGCTGAGCTTGGTGGGGGTGATGGGAGTTGTAATTCCTTAAGCCCATGGCCTTTGCCTTTGATGAAAATTCCAATTAGCTTGCAATCAATTCTGAGAACTTTCTTTGACAGAAGTAAAAAATGAACTACTGTAGAATCGGGAGGATGTTTTATAGTTCTCGCCTAAGAAATCTATTGCCTATTCATCTTCTCGTTTGGATATTATTGCTGTAAGCATACTCGCCTCATCCATCCTCCTTATCATGGTCTGATGGGATTCTAACATATTTATCTCTACTGAAACTGTACTGAGGCTGATGCTTATTTTCTGCTTCCTCTTTTATTTGAAAGTGGGGGGAAAGAAAAGCAAAAGAGGGCTTTGGGGACTGAGAACCACCTCTAGATGGTGTTGGACTGCAACTTCCAGAAGTCCTTACCAGTCTACGCTGATGAGGAGCTGATGGGTGATGATGATGATGATGTTTATTTACACCCTGCTTTTTCTCTCCACAAGGAGACTCAAAGTGGCATCAACATCAATCCAACATCAAGAGATTCTCATCCCCAGGGAAACAATAATTTGAAGGAGATGGCATAAATAAGACCAAGGTCATCTGTGAATAACTTGTTGTGAGAGGCTTTGATGACGTATTAAGAATGTTCTTATGTCACTTGTGAAAGCAGCTTTTGGTCCTCCAAATTTTGAACTGGATATCCCACATTCCTTACCATTGGTGCTGCTGGTTAGGACTGATGGGACTTGCAGTTTAACAGCATCTAGGGGGTTATGAGTTGCCTGCCTTCCTCTTAAACAATGGCAGAATAGCTACGGGATGCTACTGGCATTTAGAAGTGAGATCAATGCCACCTAGTGACTAAATTATGTAAAGACACTGTCCACATACATCTTGAGGTGAGCTAAAAGAGCTAAAAAAGCAGTCAGCATTCATTTCTATATCTGATGGCAAAAAAGCAAATACTGTATTCATAGCCTGAAAAAAGACTGAAATACATTTGTTTTTAGGTGTATTCACACATGCAAATGATAAATTGAGGCATGCACTTAGTGTTGGTTGTTTGTTTGTTTATATTCTACCTTTTCTGCAATCTTAGGACTCAAGGTGTCATACAAAAACTTAGCCCCCTTCTACACTGCCATATAAAATCTAGGTTATTTGCTTTGAACTAGATTATATGGCAGTGTAGACTCATATAATCCAGCTCAAAGCAGATAATCTGGATTATCTGATTTGATAATTTGTACTATAAGGGAGTGTAGAAGGCACCTAAAATAAAGATGCACTGTAATTAAGCTCTCAACAAAATTAAAAACAATTATATATCGCACACACCACAAGCTATATAGACGATGTAGGACTTTTTGAAACACCTTTCCCCTATGAGCAAATTATTCCTCAAAGGCCTGCAATAACAAGAGAATCTTGACTTGCCTAAGAAAAGATAAAAAGAAAAGTATAAGTGCTCTGGATATAATTCCAGAGCCTGGGAGCAGTCACTGGGAAGGCCCCCTTCAGTGTCCCATTGTAGATGGGAGAAGGTGGAATGTTCCATCCGAAGGAATTTCTGATCTCAAGAAAGTTGTTGCAGTAGATCTTCATAAGACCCTGCACGATCATACTGATTTCTGTTCCGGTTGGTTAAGCCAATTCAGGTGAGGTGACTGAAGAGATTCCTGAAGAAGAGGGAGACATGGAAAAGTTGGATGAAGAAGAAATTAAAAAACTGCAGTCTGATGAGGTATGATTGTTGCTCTTTTAAAATCACTGACCTGTTAGGGAAAAATGAAACCAGAATGTACATATGGGTCTAACTTGGGTGAGATTTGTAAGAGATGCTTCCCAATGAGATGGGAACTGTCCTCAGGTGGCCAAGGTTGATGCGTCATGTTCTCAATCACAAATCACAGCAAATCATTTGTGTCTAGCTATCTGTTAAGGGAAGTCTTCCTAAAGGACCATCTCCACAAATTCTGTGATTCAAAAGAGGGTTGTGTGCCAGGGTTTCCCCAAACATATCCTCCTATTCCTAGACATTGCGAGATTGTAGTAATCTCTTTCACCTATTAGGCATTTTTGAGGTGGTTGTTACTATATGCTTTCAAGTCATTTCCAACTTATCACAACCCTGAGGCAAATTTATCACTGTTTTCGGCAAGATTTGTTCAGAAGAGAGTGCCTTTACCATTCTCTGTGGTTGAGAGCGTGTGTCTTGTCCAAGATCACCTAGTCTTGGTTTCCAAAGTCATATTCCAATACTCAGTTTCTTAAATCATGCTTGTTCATCTTTAAGGTTGTACAGCATCAGTGCCAGTTCTTTCAATCTGTCCTATTGACTCTTATTCAGTATGGCAAACCAAACCCACATATTCCAAAGTAGGTGAAATTATTCCATTTCCCTTAGAGTTTGGGTGAAACCAGAGGCTCCCGGACTTCACTTTCTTTGCTCTGAAAGCCTATCTTCCAGTTCCCAAAATTCACCAATTTCATAATACTGAGCATGATTTTGGTGGTATTTTTGCTCCCAACCAAGACAGAGTGTGTGAAGAAAATGTAAAATTGATCTTCCATCTGCATAAGTCCCTCTCAAAATGGTGATAGGAAATGATGCAATGTTCACCCCATACTTCCTCTATTTTCCCCTATAAGTCCCTCTCATAATGGTGATAGGAAATGATGCTTCCTTATTTGTGGAGAGGTCGATGGTGACGTCTAGAAGTAGAAATGAGCTATTGGCCTTGGTCTTGGTTTTCCAGTTATTGCCAAGGAAAAGTCCACAACTCAATTCTGGTCCCAGAAGGCAGCAGCTCCACCAAAGACACAAAAGCAAAGGGAGAAGGAAAGGAGGAGTACAACAACAATCACTACCAATGCAGACAGATAGATAATGACGGAGATCTTGCATCATTCATCTACCAGTGCTATTATATGCCCTCCCTGTCCATCCCTTACACTCCAGCTAGCCATTGGGAGGCAAGGAAATAATGCAGAAAGCTATGCTCAGTAGCCGGCTGAAGGACAACATGACATATTGAAAGTCTCAGTGGGTGGGGGAGGATATGAAGATATGTCCAGAGGACCCCATGCTATGCAGGGTCCCAGCTACTCTCTGTAAATGCATGTTTTTAACAATTTTTGTGTATCTTTCTCTGAGGTGCCTTTTCATCTGCCTCTCTTGATTTTGCTTAGGGTACTGCAGGACTGGAAGTGACAGCTTATGAAGAAATGTCCAGCTTGGTTAATTATATCCAGCCCATCAAATTTGAGTCTTTTGAAATTTCAACACGTAAGGGGATTTTTAAAATTAAAAAAACCCCATTAAATGAATTGTTTTGAAGTGAATAAAGTAAGCCTTAGAAATGCTGTGCCGCATTTTGAAGCACCGTTATCTTCTTGCTCCCTCTCCTAGGGACTGGATTTTACTGCATATGCTTTTGACAGTGGGTGTGGTGGAAAATGTAGCTTGCAAGCACAAAATAAAGCCAAGAAACATCAGCTGGGGAGTGGAACTAAATAATTTGCTGCATCTGTGATTTAGGGCCAGCCTTGTTATTAGTCAGAATGAGGCCACAAAACCTTGTTCTTCCAAGCTTTGGCTTCAAGTGAATCCACTGCAGACAGAATGTTAGAGGCTTTCATCATTCCACATTATTACTTAATATAATTTAGTCTGATCCAAGTAATACTCATGCAATAGACTGTAGATGGAACACAGCAAATTAGGATAAAAATGAGCCTTTATCAAATAAATTATTCTTCCAAGGATACTTGGCATGTGCAAAACCAGCTGATTCCATTCCACTCTTCTGTGGAAACCAAGTTTAGCACATCCAGAGCCTTCATTTTGTTGGCTTTTGAGGTTTCTGTCCCCTCCTTGAAACTAGTGGGATCAGTTCTACCTTCAGTTCATACTCATAAAGCTCCACCAGTTTCAGAAACAATGCAGATAAATAAATAGGAATATAGTGTCTAGCTCCAGGGAAGTCATGCTATCCCTCTATTCCGCCGTGGTTAGACCACACCTGGAATACTGTGACCAATTCTGGGCACCCCAATTGAAGGGAGATGTTGACAAACTGAAATGTATCCAGAGGAGGGTGACTAAAATGATCAAGGGTCTGGAGAACAAGCCCTATGAGGAGCGGCTTAAAGACCTGGGCATGTTTAGCTTGCAGAAGAGAAGACTGAGAGGAGACATGCTAGCCATGTATATATATGTGAGGGGAAGTCATAGGGAGGAGGGAGCAAGCTTGTTTTCTGCTGCCCTGGAGACTAGAACATGAAGCAATGGCTTCAAACTACAGGAAAGGAGATTCCACCTGATCATTAGGAAGAACTTCCTAACTGTGAGAGCTGTTCAGCAGTGGAACTCTCTACCCCAAAATGTGATGGAAGTCCCTACTATGGAGGCTTTTAAACAGAGGTTGGATGGCCATTTTTTGGGGGTGCTTTGAATGCGATTTTCTTGCTTTTTGGCAGGGGGTTGGACTGGATGGCCCATGAGGTCTCTTCCAATTCTATGATTCTATGACTCTAGAAATCCTCTGGGAGTGGAAATTGGCTGCCACATTATTCCAGATGTATTGCGCCTGTATGACTAGATCTGAGTACTACAAGCTTTCAAAAGGAGGACAGATAGATGATGAAGTGATTAACTGTGTAGGCTCTGAAGAAGAAAGGAACAATGACATGACTGGGGCCAGGGGGTGCACTATGGAACATTTTGCAGACATGGTATGCAGTGTACCATCCACCAGATTCAAGCAATTGCAAATGTCTTGCTTTTATGAGGTTACAAAATATAGTATACTAGTTAACAGTGGTTAGCAATTGATTGATAGTGGTTTTCCCACAACAAAGATGTTTGCTCATTTGATGTTCTGTGAGTACCTCCGTGCTTCCTTATGCAGTGTTTGTGGGCTGACAGGAAAGCATGTGTTTTTGGTGAGTACAGGGTTACAGTGATGTGAATATGCACTTTTTTTTGGCCGGAACTGGGATAAAAGGGGAACATTTTATCCTGTGTTTTTCAGCCATTGCAGTAAATCAGCATGCATTTAGCACTAACACCATGTAGCCACCCCTCCCTTTTTTAAAGGAACTCCTGTGTTTTAGGTACTGTGTAGAGCGGCCCTCATGTTCTTCCCAGTATTTGGGCAGGTTCATATGAAGAAATACAGTTTGCAAGGCAGCCTATATCTGAGCTATATAAGGTTTTATTCATCACAACAAGCAGGTTGAATTGAATTATGAGTACTGAGAATGCTTCATTTTCCAGAGAAGAACAGAAGTTATGTTGTGTCCTCCTTCACGGAGATGAAAGCTTATGAACTGCTGACCAGGTCTCCCATCCAATTTGTGGAGTATCCTTTTTTTACAGTACTTGATAAATGCCTACTAATATGTGTAGAAGTTCACATCAACTATGTATGTACAATTCAAATGTGTACTTTTAGGGGGAAATACTGTGATCCCCTCCCCATTAAGTAAAATCTACATATAATAATAAATAATAATAAACTTTATTTCTATACCGTCCTATCTCCCCGAGGGGACTCAGGGCGGTTTACAACAGAAAATTGGCAAACATTCAATGCTGGCATAACATAACAAACAAATCAAATCATAAACAATAAAATAAACAACATCAGGTGTACTTATAGAACAATTCAAAAATAACTTAGATATTTAAATATATAAATCAAACATTTAGAACATGTTTACTACTCGATCTAATGATAGCAAACACTCAAAAAATTAAAAGTAAAAGACATTTACAAGTCAACAGGGCTGAGGTGGTGTCCAAGTCAGAGTGATTAAGGTGCTGGCCGAAGAAAATTATTATATTGCACAATTCCACAAGTTAAAAAGGACCTATAAGGGTCTAGTTACCACCTCCCTCCCACACCCGCCTACACCCACAAAATCTCCTAGAAACCTACACAATACACATAACATTAAAACATTGAAAACTCCCTATTTACTTGCATTAAATACAAACTATTGTAGTCTAATATAACATATATCAAAAATAGAAATTCAAATTTAATAATTAAAAAGGGCAAAAGTATGATAGCTGGGACCCTATGCGGAACGTGGGTCAGAATTAATGGAGGGAAGACATGCGTGAGACAGCTGAGTGAGTGAGAGATGCAGGTGCGACAGAGTCGTGGCAAGACAGTTCACCAGAAAGGGGGGCAAGAAGGGGGGGGGACAAAAAACAGCCAAGCATAGTGCTTAAGGCAAGTGAAGTAATGTTAAAGTTATTTACTGTTAAATTATAAACAACAGTTTATGAAGATGGTAAGCAGGATACAAATGTTTGCTCTTCCTCTTTCTAGTGAATAATGTTCCCACGACTCTGACACAGCTACATCTCTCACTTGCTGCACTGTCTCATGCACATGTTTCCCTCATTAAGTCAGACCTGCATTGCGCAACCAGCATAGGGTCCCAGCTATCATACTTTTGCCTCAAAAAGCAATAGAATTAAAGACAGAAAAAAATAGTTAAAACAGCTGACTTCTAACTTTCTTAGTGATAGTATCTGTGAAATCCCGCTTCCTCTAAAGGCATGTGTTTCTTCCCTCTTCTGTCTCTTATTTAAAAGGAAAAAAACTAATAGTTTTCTAAACCTGCAAAATTTTTGTTCAAAAGAAAGAAATGTGTAACCTTAATTGTGCCTTGCATGCCTTAAGAGCAGTTTAAAAATGGAATTTTCTTACGAATGTCTCATATACAGTGCACAAATTTTTGACTACATAACACAAGAGTTAAATAAATGGGAACAATACAGAAATATTGGCCATGTCACCTAATGTATGTAACTATCAGTCTCATCAAATGAAATTTCAGTAGAAACTATTTCCGCCCAAAACTGATCAGATGCTCCCAGTGCATGTGCCCTATGATGACCCTTGGTTTCCTACTTAAAAAAATAATCCAGCTATAACAAAAGGCAGATGAGTCGGATTTATCCCAAGGGGACCCGGATGGACTCTTCTAACTACATGCCACAGATGTTCTGGAACGTTGGTTGCCAAATGGTGGCTTTAAACTTCCAGACAACAGGTGAGTTCTGAGTCTCATCCTGTATTTGTGCTCACATACGATAATTAATTTTCTGAGACATGCATCTTTTGCATAAATTTCCCAGTGCTGCTTTCCTGTCTGTCGCTGTTTGGCTTTTTCTTTCTCTTTCTTCTTTTATACTCCCCTCCCCCCCCCCCATGGCTGGAATCATTGGGTTGTTGTAGGGTTTTTCGGGCTATATGGCCATGTTCTAGAGGCATTTTCTCCTGACGTTTCGCCTGCATCTATGGCAAGCATCCTCAGAGGTAGTGAGGTCTGTTGGAACTAGGAAAATGGGTTTATATATCTGTGGAATGACCAGGGTGGGACAAAGGACTTTTGTCTGCTGGGGCTAGGTGTGAATGTTTCAGCTGATCACCTTGATTAGCATTCAATGGCTGGGAAGAGTCCTTTGTCCCACCCTGGTCTTTCCACAGATATATAAACCCATTTTTCCTACTTCCAACAGACCTCACTACCTCTGATGATGCTTGCCATAGATGCAGGCGAAACGTCAGGAGAAAATGCCTCTAGAACATGGCCATATAGCCCGAAAAACCTACAACAACCCAGTGATTCCGGCCATGAAAGCCTTCGACAATACAATATATATATTATAATGATGTTTCTCTATCAGTTGTTCCTCTATGACAGGTAGCCCATTGTTGCTCCTTGTTACAGTGTTTACTTAGGTTGCATACTACTTTTTTATTCCCTGTTGCTTAAAAAAGAAGACTACTTAAGATCTATTAAGAGAATATTATGAACCTGAGAATCAGTCCTTCTTATGACTGGAATTACAGGGAAAATAGAAAAGCAGAAGGCAGCAGAATTAGGAATTTCAGAAAACCGATATGTTAAAAAGAATTATGAAGTGGAAAAGGAGAAAGACAAGAGAACTAGCATAAACAGGTTACAGAGTAAAGGGACAGAACATTTAGTACTTTGAGAAATAAATAGGGCCACAGTGTAATTTGGAGATGGTTACGCTCAAATCTCTCCTGTTATGGAATGGAGAGTAGGCAGATGCAACAATCCGGGATTTCTATTCATCTGTATTTTTCTTATGGGGGACATGGGACTCTGCAATTATTAGTACTAAGGTGGCAATTCACCGTACCTACAGCAATTTCCTTTATTGTGTTGGTGCCCATGACACTGCCAGATAGTTATTACAATACTAATAAAGCCAAATGGAGCTCTCCCACTTCTGTGTCAGGCTCTATCTACACTGTCAGATAAAATCCAGATTATCTACTTTGCCTTGGATTATATGGCAGTGTAGACTCATATAATCCAGTACAAATTAATGTGGATTATCTGCTTTGATAATCTGAGTTAAACAGCAGTGTAGATGTCATCAATTGGGATCCCCTCCCCTCAACACCAACTGCTAATCTGGGACCAGAGTAAAGAGAAGGGCAAAGAAGATATTGCATTTATTTTATTTATTGCATTGTATATTACTTGTAAGCCACTCTGAGTCCCCTTAGGGGTGAGAAGGGCGGCATATAAATGTCATAAATAAATAAATAAATAGATGGGGGCCACAGACTGTTGTGAAACTATACAGAAATGTGTATGTATTTTTTGCATTTCCTCCATTCCTTAAGGAATTAGTGTTCATTTGAAATTATTTTAATTTGGAGATTAAACATGTCTGTGACATTTTCCAAATACAGGCTTAGTTGTGTACATTTCTGAAATGTACGGGTGCTTTTGTATTTGTTGCATCTGAGGCAAGGTGCACTTCAGTCTGCTGCCAGTCTTGAGGGAATGGAATTGATTTTTTCATATAGAAATGGAAGCAGTTTAATGCATAAATAGAATAAAAAAGGATGGAACAAGGAAATTCATAAAAAAAGAAGTATATTTTTTAAACCTGGCCAAAAAAATAGCAGAAGGGCGTAGTTTCCCTGTCATTTTTAGCTTTTCATTATCTTAATGTATGATCTCTATCCAGAAAGTTGTAAACATCTCAGGGATACTTGGCTAATGATGAATATGTTAATATTTCTATTTAGGAAAAGGCAAAATATGCCTTTTTCCTAAATGGTTCTTATCATTGTACAGTCCACACATCTTCTTTCCCTGAAATAGCCCTGCGTGCCATTATCATACACAATGGAACTTATCCTTTTTTCCTTTGCAAAAGTAGCATTTGTATAGGGAAGGCTTCTGGTGTGAGAGAATTGGCAGTCTGCAAAGATGTTGCCCAGGGGACACCTGGGTTTTTGATATATATTTTTTACCATCCTTGTGGGAGGCTTCTCTCATGTCCCCGCATAGGGAGCTGGAGCTCACAGAGGGAGCTCAACCCGCTCTCCCTGGATTTGAACCACTCACCTGTCAGGCAGCAGTCCTGCTGGCACAAGGATTTAACCCAACGTGCCACCCGGGGCTCCAGTACCACAATGATTCAGCTAGATTGAGCCTACATATTTTCCTGGAAGTAAATCCCATTGATTTCAGTGAGTTTTATTTCTAAATTTACTATTAAACAAAGCATTTGGAGCTGATAAAGTGGGATCCAGTGGTTAAATGGTGTGTATTGTTTAGGTGATAAAATGACCAGTTGCTTCCTGAAAGCAGATAGAAAGCAGATATATTTTCACCAACTTTGTGTACTTCTTCTCTTTGTTGGGCTGTTCTCTCCAAAGATGTCCCCATGCAGCAGAATATGGCTCTTTTTGAATACAATGGACAGAGTGGTTATCTCCTCAAACATGACTTCATGCGTCGACCTGATAAGCAATTTGATCCCTTCTCTGTGGACCGCATTGATGTGGTGGTGGCAAGCACTCTGTCAATAACGGTGAGTCACCATCACCAGGTTGCATTGGGACTTCAAGATCTTTCACCAGGACTGTCGTATAAATACAAACACCACCGCGTGTACAATTTATTGAGGCTTGATGTACCCAGGCTCTTCACAGCTGAACAAAACTTCAATGTCCTCTCCAGAGAATGACGAGAAATGTTATTTCTTTCAGTGTCTAAATGTAGTGCGTGAATCACGTGAGAAACACAAAAAGCAGAAAGCACTTTGCTAAATCAGTTGGTAGCAATAAAAAAAGGGGAGATGGCACAAATATAACCTAAACAAGAAACAGATAGTTGATCTTCTATACTTTCAGGCAAACCATCAAAAAGTTGTATAACATAAAAAACTATAAGATATTTGTGTGTACATTTTATGATAAATGTAACATTTTTCAATGAAACTGATACTGTCTGTTCTCTCTTTTTGTCACTTAGAAGATGACGTTCATCATGGAAATAGTGCCACTGTGACAAAGCCAATCAGCTCTGGCTTTGTAATGATGTAATTAAGGATAAGTTAGTTCACTTCAGAGTGTAGGTCTTGCATTGCATTATGTTGAATTGTTGAAGTCCTTTTAAGTCCTTTCCTTCTGCAAATTCAAGTGTGCACATATGTGGTTTTTCAGAGGGGAAAATTATTCATGAAAACTTTCTTTTTCTGACCTAATACTAGATAAATCTACTTGCACATAGTAGTTTAGGACATGAAGGAAAGCTAGAACACGTCTTTCTCACATTACAGTATGTCCCTAGCAGGCAGTATAAGCAATCACTCATGTTATTCTGTCAGTTGCATTTTGAAGGATGTGCTTTTTCTGAACTGCATTCCCTAAAGCAGGAATGGGAAATACGTGGCCCTCCAGAAGTAGAGGGGGGAGTGCTCTCATTATTCCTAGTCAACAAAGTTGCTGTGAGAAATGGCAAAAATTGCCATTCAGTACCAGGGAGAGCTCCCTGTTCCCCAGCCATGCCATAAAGTCATACAAAGGTTAAATGAAGCAAATATCCATGAACTAATTGGAAGTGTTTGCAAATAACATGTTGATCTAAACGGAAGAGATTCAGCACTAAATCATGGGATTTAAACAGGGGCAAAAATCCCGCGACTTCAGAAGAGGTCCACATACAGACCTATTGGTCATGGGATTTCTGTCTCCATTGTTTAAACTTCATGCTTTGTTGTGAGATTTAGAGGCTCCCAAGTTAAGTTCTTTGTCCTGGTCAGAGAAAATGTTCCCTCCGCATGTTTCATGAAGTTTCTGCCTTTTACTCAAGTGTTGTCTTCTTTTTAGGAACTGACCAATCAGGAACAAATATCTAAAACCTGGGAACAAACCCTGATTTAAAAAGTCCCATGATTTCAGAGTGCAGGGACATACAGACATGAGAAGATCCGCATATTCAGCTCAAAACCGTGATATTTCTCATGTTTTTTGCCTTTTGTAGCAATTGCTTCCTCATTTACAGGGAACGGCATCTGGCCACCTTCCTGTTTGCTGCGGAAGCTCCTGGGATAAAAGTACTGTCTGGACAGGCTCTCAGAGGCTAAATGGATATTACTGAAACAGGGCTTAAATCCTATGCTTTTCTTGTGTTTGTGTATTCTTAGATCATTTCTGGCCAGTTCCTCTCAGAACGTAGTGTGAGGTCATACGTGGAAGTGGAGTTATTTGGACTACCAGGTGACCCAAAACGGAAATACAGAACCAAGCTGACCCCAAATGCCAACTCAATCAACCCTGTATGGAAGGAGGAGGCTTTTGTATTTGAAAAGGTAGCTGCCCCTAACTTAACATCAGTCTGTTCCAGTATCAGCTTTCAGCAGCTGAGATTGGCTTCTTCTACCAACCATCATACATTACAAGTATCTATGCTTTTAAAATATTGTACAATGTATTAATTGAATGAGTGAGAAGAATGTAAATGTATTCCATTACACTGTTAGTGCCCTTGCTGTGTGTAAGAATGTAAAAGTATTATCCATGACTAGTGTTTATACAGCAGTATTCATATTAGTAGACTGCCAATCAGATGCTGAAGACTTTACTTCAAAGGAAGTAACTAGCAAAACCACTTCTGAGCATTGCTTGCCTAAGGAAACCCTAAAAAATTCATGGAGTCATCATAAATTGACAGACGAGTTGAATGCACATACATACACACTCATCCATATACTAACCTCAGTTCAAAACAGAATGCATGGGAAGCTGCCTTCTATCAGAGAAGGTACTTGATGGATCTAAATCAATGTTTACAGTGACTGGTAGCATCTCTTCAGGATTAAGCCATTCCCAACTTCTGTCTCAGTTCTATAGTTCTGATTTGTATGTTTTGCTTTCAGCTAACTAACTGAACACTAACAATGTATTTCTGAAGGTTTAGATATAAAAATAGATCAAATATGCTAAATATCTACCCTGCTACATTACCAGTTCCCCAGGCTTGGGCAATTTCCAATATGAAAAACATAACCCCTTTCCCAACTCCAATCTGTGGCAGAGAGACACATTTTCTCCTTGTTTTAAGTCCACCCCTTTCCCAAAGCACACTTCTAATATTATGGTTATTTTAAAATGTTGGTGATTCTAGAAAGCAACAGCAGCAATTCTACATGAGATTTCCTATGGGGAGGTTTATGGTTGCTGGCCTTTTGTATTAAAATGTCAAAGTTTTGTGGTCTGCTTGCACACCACACTGGGCACTCATTCAAAAACAACCGCCGCCACCCCAGCCCCACCAGTATTAAATGTTGGTCACGTAGGTAGTGTGCCAAGTTTGTTGCTGGTCCATTGTGGTCTGGGGTCAGTGTGCTCTTTGATTTTAGGTTAACTATAAATCCCATCAATTACAACTCCCAAATGTCAAGGTCTATTTTCCCCAGACTCCACCAGTGATCACATTTGGGCATATTGAGTATTTGCGCCAAGTTTGGTCCAGATCCATCATTGTTTAAGTCCAGTGCTCTCTGGAGGTAGGTGAACTGCAACTCCAAAACTCAAGGTCAATGCCCACCAAACCCTTCCAGTATTTTCTGTTGATCATAGGAGCTCTGTGTTCCAAGTTTGGTTCAATTCCATCATTGATGGAGTTCAGAATGCTCTTTGACTATAGGTGAACTATAAATCCTAGCAACTACAACTCCCAAATGACAAAATCAATCCCCCTCCCAACTCCACCAGTATTCAAATGTGGGCTTATCAGGTATTTGTGCCAAATTTGGTCCAGCGAATGAAAATACATCTTGCATATCAGATATTTACATTATGATTCATAACAGTAGCAAAATTACAGTTACGAAGTAGCAACAAAAATGATTTTATGGTTGGGGTCACCACAAGATATGGAACTGTATTAAGGGATCGCAGCATTAGAAAGGTTGAGAACCACTGTTTTATTTGGTCCAAGAGACTTTCACTGCCAGGCAACATTGTAAATGTAAGACTGTATCAATGTAACTAATAGCCCTTTGAAGGAAACCATAAGGCTAATGTGGCCCTCAGTGAAAATGAATTTGACTTCCCTGTTGTAAAGAGACATTTAATTCTAATTTTGGTGACAGAAAAGTATGGGAAACTTCTCAAAGTTGAGATTGTTCTGTATGCTGTGATATGTATTTGGAATTAACCAGGTCCCTTCTACTATGCATATAAATCAGCATTATGGAACAAATGTAAGAACTAGTTTAGCCAGGTATAATCCATAATGCTGTATTAAAAGAAGATATTTATAAAAATAGGATCTGGAGAGCTGGTGAAATATCTGAAATGGAAATAGAGGTATAAATAATACAGGAACCTCAAAGTGAATAAAAGTTCAATGCCTAGAGAATTTGCTGACTCAAGGTAGCTGCTTAAAATGAAATCTGTGGAGTTGAATTTAGATATATTTTATTCAGTATTATCCCCTTGAACTTTGCTTTATCTGATTGTGCCTTGCAGATTTTGATGCCAGAATTGGCTTCTCTCAGAATTGTAGCCTTGGAGGAGGGAGGAAAATTCATTGGTCACCGCATCATTCCTGTCACTGCTGTACACACTGGTGAGAAGCAGCCTTTTGTATGGCCACTGAAAAAAATGGATGAGGTTACTGTATACACTCGAGTATAAGCCTAGTTTTTGAGCTTCTTTTTTTTTAAGCTGAAAAAGTCCCTCTCAGCTTATACTTGAGTCAAGGTTATTTATTATTTTACTATTATTATTATTATTATTATTATTATTATTATTATTATTATTATTACACTTATTATTTTACACTTATTATTTTACTCTGATATTATTTTACACTTATTATTTTACTCTGATATTATTATTTTACTCTATTATTATTATTGTTGTTATTACATTTATTATTTTACTTTATTATTATTGGAAGGCTATGTAAGCACATTTACATTGAAGAAGGTTAGAATAGTGGTTTAATCAGAGTAGGACAGTCTTAAATTACAGTTTTATGTAAATATTCAAAAACATTTAACCTCCTGATGCCTCAATTAATATAATTTTATTGGTATCTATCTATGATATTTACCAGTAGCTGCTGCATTTCCCACCCTCAGCTTATACTCGGGTCAATACGGTATTTGGTTAAGTAGTATTTTCTTCACATGAATCCTTATGACTTCAATGTGATCATAATGGCTATATGAAAAAAACAATCTATAGTGTATAGAGCTTGAGATCTTACTTTAAGCAAATATGGTTTAGGAAGCATATACAAGATATGAAAAAAATGCCCACGCACAGTCAGCCCTCCACATTTGCAAGTTGGAACTTGATTGTCACATTATACTGGAGGACCTAGAAATTCCTAGAAACAGCACTCTGTAAAGATTTGTATGTCCTCCGGTATGATTCTAAGGTCAATTTCTGGTGGAAGGTTGTATATTCCTAGAAAGCTGTTCTTTCAGGTAAAACTTAGTGGTTTTTTTATTCATATTTTTCTACTTTCACTGAGTTCCTGAGCCCTGAACCTTTGCAAATGTGGAGGGCTGATTGCACTCTCTGACACTCTTTGACTTTCAATTTTTGTGGAAGTCTCTTCATAGGTGATTTTCTCCAGTCTTCTGATATTAAAAAAACCCCTTCCAACAAAATCAACAAAAATAGGATACTGATAAACCTGCACTTTACCTGTCTTTCTGTACAAGTAGACAATGTCTCCAATTTTGTGATTAGGAACTAATAATTCTCCATGTAAGCACTATAGACTGGCAGTGGAACAGGGAATAACATTTATTCATCTATTAATTTATGTCCCATCTTTTTCTAATATGGACACAAAATGGTTTAAAATAAGTTGAAAGAAAATATAACTAAAATAAAACATAATGCAAACATTTGTAAACTATTAAACAAACAAAATGATTAAACTGTAAAATCCACTGCTCACCTCACTTAAAAAAATAATTCTGCTCCAAACAGTTTAAAGCCTACAAGATGTTTAAATCAGAAGGTCTCTGGCTACTCATGAAAGAGAGCAAAGAGGGAGCCAGTCGAGTTCCTCTTGTGAGTGAATTCCATCATCTAGAAGCAGCCACTAATAAGAAGGCAATGTCTTGTCTTCCCAGTGGATAACCCTATAAGGATGGTTTTTCCCAAAGATAAGACTAAGGCAAACCCATAGAGAGAATTGGACTTTTAGATAGTCTCAGCCTAAGCTATAAAATTACATGGACTAAGGATTCCCAAAATCCTTAGTTCAAAAGCATTACAAAACTTATTAACAGAAGGAATAAACATCTTGCATTGGATATTAATGGTATCAGTAGCTACATGTTGGCCTTAGAGTGGGCCTTTATGGAGCAATGACTTACTACAGCTTGCATCATACTAATACTGCTAGAGCTATTTCTGATTGTCTTCACCATTTTCCAAAACACCTTCTTAAGAGCATTGTTTGCCACTTGTTTGTGTTTAATATTTCTACTGGGATAATGTGTTTTCTGTTCCAGGCTATCATCATGTTTGCCTTCGTAGTGAGAGCAACATGCCTCTTACGATGCCGTCCCTCTTTGTCTATGTGAACATGAAAGACTATGTTCCTGACTCTTGGGCAGGTACTGTTGTCCAGAGGTTTGAAAGAGTGTATTTGTACATATTTGCTGGATTTTCAGTAAAGGAGGCGATGTAACTTACAAAGTACCCCTTTTTGTTCTATATGCAAAAAAAAAAAAAAAGATCAGAAAGACAGAGTTAGATAAAATTGCCATCAACTGCCAAGGAGACTCTAAGGGTTAACTGAACCCTCTCCTAAAATGTACTTTAGTTATTGTTAATTTGCATTGTTTTTGCTCTTTGTGAGAGCATGATTATGGTTTCTGTTTAGCATCTTTGGTGCCTGTTACTTTGAGGGTGCTATTGTGCACATGTGGTGCTTTTTGTCATGGCCTTGGGCCTGTACAATAAACTATTTTGATTGATATAAAGGAGGCAATTTTTTCATTACTGTTGGGGATGTCATCTGATAGAATTAATATATAGAAGCAGCACCATTTTGTGTCATTTTGTGAGCACTATTTCCTTTCTTTGATTAGTCAATAACAATCTTTAACATCATTGATGATATATGGTTAAGCCTAGAAAATTATATTATAGTATAGTCCAAATTCTGTTAGAAGTCCTAATCAATCAAAATTTTAATGATGAGTTGACACATACAATGGGCCCTTGGTATACAGTTCAAGGTTTTGGTTACAGAACCTCCCTTAAATAACAAACACCATGGATGCACAAGTCCAACTGTGTAAAAAATGTGTCACTTACATAAAATGACAAAATCTTAGTATGCTTTTTTGTTTTTGAGCCATGGTTTGTTGAATCTGTGGATAAAAAATCTGTGGATATGGGGAGCCAAGTATATATAAATCTCACTGATTCAATGAGTCTGTTCTAATTGGGGTTAACTGTATGAGCCAGACCTGTTTGTCTCACAAATGTGAGATATTAGAGATATGGCAATGTTGGGACAGCTGTAATTATAGGTGCTAGTATTGTTTTTGTATTAGTTATTTGCAAAGCTGGCATATGGATATCAGTGACAATTTAATTTATGGCCCTTTACCTTACTCATACATACATATTAGCAGCACCCATGATTTGGGATATATACCATTCACTATCCAGGCAAGAGTTAATAGTTTTGTTGGTTATTTATTTTTTAAAGGGGCAACCTGCAACCAACAGTAGCAGATCTATCATGGGAGTAACTATGTTGTCAAAAAGGCAGCAGCTCACTCAGGCAATTTCCTGCCCATCTGCATTAATGTGGGCAAAAGAAAATTCAAAATTAATCATATATGAGTTGAACTATATTCCCTACTAATTGAAGCAGCAAGTAATAAGCAGGATGAAGTGCAAATTATGTTTTTAATATCTTGGCTTATCTCTGTAGACCTTACCATGGCACTCTCCAACCCAATAAAATTTTTCAATGCACACGACAAAAAGTCAGCAAAGAGTCAAGAACCTAATCTTGAGGTGAGTTCTTCAGATGGTTTTACAGACTGAGTATCTCTTATCCAAAAGGCTTGGGATTGCAAGTATTTTGCATTTTGGATTTTTTCAGATCTTGGAATATCTGTATTTGTATACATAATGAGAGATCTTGGAGGTGAGATCCAAGGTTAAACATAAAATTCATTTCTGTTTCATATACACATAGCTTGAAGATAATTTTATACAATTAATTTTGTGAATGAAAACGAAGTTTGTCTGCATTGAACCCTCAGAAAGCAAATGTGTCCCTATCCCAGCCACCCTTTTGGAATATTTTGGATTTTTGTTCCAGATAAGGGATGCTCAGCCGGTGTACTTGTGGCTGACCTTTCCCTGCCACTCAGGGGAGCGGTAGAACATAAATAATAGAACAGACATGCACATTTAATTGAATATTTTTGTATATCTAGGTCAAAATGGTTTCAAGGAAAAAAGAGTATTCAGCATAGCCTTTTTTTTTTTTTTGGGCTTCTTTGGGAGAGAGATTCAGAGGTAGAGATAACACAGAGAGTTCAAAGAGCAGGAAGGAAGATACATTCTTGAAAGCAGGCTTCTTGGAGGGTTGAGAATTATCTCTAGCTCCAGAATCATATAGATAGTTCTTTCACCCCTCATATGAATAAAGCTATAACTCTCAGACCTGATTAATCCTCTATTATTCCATATTTTCAGCTGCTTTTAAAATGCCTTTGTTTATCTGTCCCATTATTATTTTCCTCTTTTGTCCTCGGTTGCTGCAAACAGTTCAAGGTGCAAAAGTAGTTTGCTCTCAAATAACTCAACAGAAGGAGAAGACAGGGTAGAATTTACTATCTATAGTAAGCTTAAGTGATATTTGACTACTTGCAGGGGAATCAGGCAAAAGCAATGTCTTCTAGCTTGCGTTTTCTTCCACATTAATAACAGCGTTGACTGATGAATTTCATAACACAGTGATGAGGAACCTCTAGATTGCAACCTGGATATGGCCCAAATAGGAGAGAAGACCAAGCATCCTGCCAGTTTCTCCAGCTTCTCTTCCCTGAAAAAAATATACTACCAAGCAGGCCCATAGCCAGGATTTCATTTCGGTGGGGGGGGGGGGCTGAGTTTCGGGGGGGGGGCTGAGTCTGAGTGAAAGAGGGTCTACTCTAGCAAACCTTTTGTATCATTACCCCAATACCCCCATGCATATGGGATATATTGAGTATGATGATCAGATCATGATATGAATAAACATAACAGTTTAAATAATGCACCAGTAAGGCCTTTTCGTGAACCACCATGAGAATTTCGGGGGGGGGCTGAAGCCCCTCAAGCCCCCCCCCCCCGGCTACATGCCTGCTACCAAGTCTTCAATTTAGGCCTTTCAGACTTTTATGGCTGAAGTCTCAATGGTTTTCATATCCCTGCAACTCCTTCCTTGTTGGCTTTTAGGAGACTCTGTTTTTGTGGGAGCTTGGAGAAGATTGGCTTTCAGAATACTGGGAATTTTCTTACATACAATCTACAGAATAAAGATGAGCAGTTGACAAAGGGGGGAAAATGTCATATCTACGAATTTCCTGTACAACATTTTCTGTACAGAAAATATGCAGAAATACTTCTGTCTTCACAGACCATGCCATTTCCTGTGTAGAAAATGCTGTTTGCTGTACAAAATAACCACTTGTCACATTCACATAGAATGAGTCTCAAATTCTGATTAAGTTTTTGGAAACTGTTTTTTAAAAAAACAAAAACAAAAACTTTCTTGTAGTGGGGAGAAAAGCACTGAAATTACTCATTGCTTCCTTTGATAAGAAACCTAGTGAAGAATTACATCCCTACTCCAAGTTACAATAATAATACTCTAATTATATGTTAATAGTTATATGTTGTAGGTTTTTACACTGTATAGTTTTTAAGATGTTGGGCACTTTGGGCTTTAATCCAGAGGAAGAAAATGCAGCAGCAGAAGCCTCTTTTATTTCTTTTTCTAAGACAGAATGTAATTAGTTTATTATCTCATCATATAGGTGGAATAGTAAAGGGATTGTGGACTTCAGTAATAGCTTTATTTCTATCCGGTATATCACAATGCAGTCCGAACAATACATTTGATGGGGCTAGTGCAGTGTTTGGTATTGCTTGAATTTACTGAGAAAGGACACAACAGTTGTCAATAGTTTACTCAGGATGTTTAATCATCGTTGATAACAGGAGCAAAAAAACGATGTCATCAGATTGAGAAAAAAGATGAGTGAATTGAAAAGACTACTTCCCCACTAACCAGTGGGGAAGTTAAAGTCAGAAGTGGGAAGTCAGATTTGGCCATGGTGGTCCACACTCTTGTTGCATCCCAAATAGACTACTGCAACACGCTCTACATGGAGTTGCCTTTGAAAACTATTCAGAAGCTTCAAATGGTCCAATGGGCAGCAACCAGATTCCTTATTGGAGTGGGGTAAAGGTAGCATACAACTCCCCTGCTACGTCAGCTCCACTGGCTGCCAGTCTGCTACCGAGCAGAATTCAAAGTACTGGCTTTAGCCTATAAAGCCCTAAATGGTTCCGACCCAATTTACCTGCCTGAATACATCTCCCTCTAGGAACCACCTAGGAGATTAAGATCTTCTGGGGAGGCCTTGCTCTCGGTCTCACCTCCTTCACAGGTGCGGTTGGTGGGGAGAAGAGACAGGGCCTTCTCAGTGGTGGCGCCTCGGCTTTGGAACTCCCACCCCAGTGAAATTAGGCCAGCACCCTCCCTCTTCGTAAAGAAAGACATGGCTGTGGACCAAGTCTTTGGTTAGTAAACAGTTCAAGAAATGAACAGGGACTATGTGTAATTGGCATTTGGAATGTCCTCGAATTACAGTTCTTGAATTATGTGATTTTGATGTTTATATTAATATGTTTTTTAAAAACATAAAAATGTTTTAATGTCTAAATGCTGCTTATATTTTATGGTTTAATATGGTTTAATTCATAGTTATATGTTGCTGTTGATTTAATGCTTGATTTTTCACACGTATATTTGGCATTAAATTTTGCCATGACCATGTTAGAAACCACTTTGAGTCCCCCCAGGGGTGAGAAAAGCAGTATATAAATACAGTAAATAATAAATAATAATATTAGTGAGAAATTAATAAAGATGTTGGGGGGGGGGGTGTCCCCTACTACTGTATAGGTTTTTAATGCCTTGAACCTGCCTCATTACTATAACTTATGGCTCTTTATTATTTTCTTGTTGCTTCTGTGTGGTAGCCTAAGATGCCAAAATATACATTGGTACTGTTTGCTTTCAAATCATGACCCTAAAGCGAATTTATCATCTTTCTTGGCAAAATTTATTTTCTGAGTTGGGGGGGGGGGAGGGAGTTGCAATTATATTTCTCTGAGGCTGAGAGAATGTGACTCACCCAAGGTCATGCTCATCTAGACTAGAAAAGGAGCCAGTTGTTGCCATAAATCCATTTCTGCTGTGACACGGATGCATCATTTGTTTGACAGAGGCCAGATTTGCAAACAGGTCTTTCAACCAGTCAACTCACTACAAATGGCTTATCTAATGCCACAGGAACCTACAGTATTCCTCCTTCAAATGGACCTGCAGGTAATACTGCTGATATATGTAATCGGGTAGATAGTGTGGGGCATAGAAGGATGGAAAAACAACTAACAAGTCTTCATTTCTTTGAACTAACCATTCTGCTGTGGTCAATGACAAAAGCAGAGGAGACACAAAAAATTGTTTTTCTCCTCCAGGAATGCTTCCCTCAGGGAAGGATGAAAACTTGAAAGAAGCCACAAATGTAACTACAGGTAATTCTAACTCAAATTTCCATCCAGATAATAAAACTTAGTTATGGAACTGATTGTTATATAAAGTGGGATGAGTCAACACTTTTTTCCACATTACTAAAACATAAGATGGGGAACTCCAGCAAAGGATCACCGCCTTGTCGGGGCGCTGGAGCTTGAGCACCTCAATGATGTCATGAGCGAAACCGTGAAGGGCCACCCAAGATGGGACAGTTGTGGCAGAGAGGTCAGACCAAGCGTGATCCCTGGGGAAGGCAATGGCAAACCACTCCTGTATCCTTGCCAAGAAAACTAAATGGACCAGTACAACCAGAGATATGTCGGTATGCCATTGGAAGATGGGACTCCCAGGTCGGAAGATGGCCAAAATGCTACTGGGGAGGAGCAGAGGATAAGTTCAACTAGCCCCAGATGTGATGACGCAGCTAGCTCAAAGCCGAAAGGAAGGCTAGCGGCCGACGGTACTGGAGGTGAACGACGAATCCGATGCTCTAACGATCAACACACCATAGGAACCTGGAATGTAAGATCTATGAGCCAGGGCAAATTGGATGTTGTTATTGGTGAGATGTCAAGACTAAAGATAGACATTCTGGGGGTCAGCGAACTGAAATGGACTGGAATGGGCCACTTCACATCAGAGACCACCAGATCTACTACTGCGGACAAGAGAAACATCGAAGAAATGGAGTAGCCTTCATAATTAATAAGAAATTCGCTAAAGCGGTGCTTGGATACAACCCAAAAAATGACAGAATGATCTCAATTCGAGTGCAAGGAAAGCCTTTCAACATCAGTGATCCAAATATACGCCCCAACCACAACTGCTGAAGAAGCAGAAGTAGATCAGTTCTATGAGGATCTGCACGACCTACTGGATAATACACCAAAAAGAGACATTATTTTCATTACAGGAGACTGGAATGCCAAGGTGGGAAGTCAAATGACAACTGGGATCACAGGAAAGCATGGTCTGGGAGAACAAAATGAAGCGGGACGCAGGCTGATAGAATTTTGCCAGGAAAACTCGCTGTGTATAACGAATACTCTCTTCCAACAACCTAAAAGACGGCTTTATACATGGACCTCACCAGATGGTCAACACCGAAATCAGATTGACTACATCCTTTGCAGCCAAAGGTGGCGGACATCCATCCAATCGGTGAAAACAAGACCTGGGGCTGACTGTAGCTCAGATCACGAACTTCTTATTGCCCAATTTAGAATAAAACTAAAGAGATCAGGGAAAATACACAGACCAGTTAGATATGATCTCACTAACATTCCTAGCGAATATACAGTGGAAGTGAAGAACAGATTTGAAGGACTAGAGTTAGTAAACAGAGTCCCAGAAGAACTATGGACAGAAGTCCGCGACATTGTTCAGGAGACGGCAACAAAGTACGTTCCAAAGAAAAAGAAAACCAAGAAGGCAAAATGGTTGTCTGCTGAGACACTGGAAGTAGCCCAAGAAAGGAGGAAAGCAAAAGGAAACAGGGATAAGGGGAGATATGCCCAGTTAAATGCGCAATTCAGAGGTTAGCCAGAAGAGATAAGGAACTATTTTTAAATAAGCAATGCATGGAAGTGGAAGAAGACAACAGAATAGGAAGGACAAGAGACCTCTTCCAGAAAATTAGAAACATTGGAGGTAAATTTCAGGCAAAAATTGGTGTGATAAGAAACAAAGATGGCAGGGACCTAACAGAAGCTGAAGAGATCAAGAGAAGGTGGCGAGACTATACAGAAGATCTGTATAGGAAGGATAATAATATTGAGGATAGTTTTGACGGTGTGGTGAATGAATTAGAACCGGACATCCTGAGGAGTGAGGTTGAATGGGCCTTAAGAAGCATTGCTAACAACAAGGCAGCAGGAGACGACGGGATCCCAGCTGAACTGTTTAAAATCTTAAAAGATGATGCTGTCAAGGTGATGCATGCCATTTGCCAGCAAATATGGAAAACACAAGAATGGCCATCAGACTGGAAAAAATCAACTTATATCCCCATACCAAAAAAGGGAAATGCGAAAGACTGCTCAAACTTCCGTACAGTGGCCCTTATTTCTCATTCCAGTAAGGTAATGCTCAAGATCCTGCAAGGAAGACTCCAGCAATACATGGAGCGAGAGTTGCCAGATGTTCAAGCTGGGTTTAGAAAAGGTAGAGGAACGAGAGACCAAATTGCCAATATCCGCTGGATAATGGAGAAAGGCAGGGAGTTTCAGAAAACATATATTTCTGTTTTTTTGACTATTCTAAAGCCTTGACTGTGTGGATCATAATAAATTGTGACAAGTTCTTGGTGGGATGGGGATACCAAGCCACCTTGTCTCTCTCCTGAGGAATCTGTATAAGGACCAAGTAGCAACAGTCAGAACTGACCACGGAACAACAGACTGGTTCAAGATTGGGAAAGGCGTACGGCAAGGCTGCATCCTCTCACCCAACCTTTTTAACTTGTATGCCGAACACATCATGCGATGTGCGGGGCTTGATGAATGCAAAGCTGGGGTGAAAATTGCTGGAAGAAACATTAACAACCTCAGATATGCAGATGACACCACTCTGATGGCCGAAAGCGAGGAGGAGCTGAGGAGCTTTCTAATCAAGGTGAAAGAAGAAAGCGCAAAAGCCGGGTTGCAGCTAAACGTCAAAAAAACCAAGATTATGGCAACAAGAATGATTGACAACTGGAAAATAGAGGGAGAAACCGTGGAGGCCGTGACAGACTTTGTATTTCTAGGTGCAAAGATTACTGCAGATGCCAGACTGTAGCCAGGAAATCAGAAGACGCTTACTTCTTGGGAGGAGAGCAATGTCCAATCTCGATAAAATAGTAAAGAGTAGAGACATCAGACAGGCAACAAAGATCCGCCTAGTCAAAGCCATGGTATTCCCTGTAGTAACCTACGGATGTGAGAGCTGGACCTTAGGGAAGGCTGAGCGAAGGAAGATCGATGCTTTTGAGCTGTGGTGTTGGAGGAAAGTGCTGAGTGCCTTGGACTGCGAGAAGATCCAACCAGTCCATCCTCCAGGAAATAAAGCCCGACTGCTCACTGGAGGGAAAGATACTAGAGACAAAGTTGAAGTACTTTGGCCACATCATGAGGAGACAGGAAAGCCTAGAGAAGACAATTCTGCTGGGGAAAGTGGAAGGCAAAAGGAAGAGGGGCCGACCAAGGGCAAGATGGATGGATGGCATCCTTGAAGTGACTGGACTGACCTTGAGGGAGCTGGGGGTGGTAACGGCCAACAGGGAGCTCTGGCGTAGGCTGGTCCATGAGGTCACGAAGAGTCGGAGACGACTGAACGAATGAACAACAAAAAGATGGGGAAAGTGCAGATCTATTGCCATCTGTAAGCCCAGGATTTTTCTTGTGGCCTCAGAACTTCCCAGGAGCCCAAATGTTTGCCTCCAAAAATGTCCAGGGGATATGGAGGACATTTTTTTCTACAGGTTTGTTTCTCATAAAGCCATTTTCAGTTCAGGGGAAGCCACTTTTCCATTAGGAAAGGGCCTGCACATTGCCTTCCAAATCACTTCCTATGGGGAAAAAATCTCTTCTAGCCCAATATGAGTCAAACAAGACTGAAACATGAAGAAATTGCCATCATTCCTTCTTGTGGGCATGGGGAGCATATCCCCACAAGCTTTGCACTGTAGGATGTTCCCTCCATTGTCTCCTGGGTGGTCAAGGTATCTTGTGTGGCTCTTGAGCAATATCAGAGTCTGGAAGCTTCTCTCTAACTCTTTCTCATTTAGACACACACACATCCCCACCTAGAGCCCCTGGTGGCGAAGTGGGTTAAACCCCTGTGCCGGCAGGACTGAAGACCAACAGGTCGCAGGTTCGAATCCGGGGAGAGGTGGATGAGCTCCCTCTATCAGCTTCAGCTCCTCATGCAGGGACATGAGAGAAGCCTCCCACAAGGATGATAAAAACATCAAATCATCTGGGCATCCCCTTGGCAATGTCCTTGCAGACGGCCAATTCTCTCACACCAGAAGTGACTTGCAGATTCTCAAGTCTCTCCTGACACAACAAAAAAAACAAAAACCTTTGCACAGAATTTAAAACATTTGAGATCCTTGTTGGTTATTAAGAACCATAGGCAGGAGTAGGCAAAGAGCTACTTCCATGTTTATTTGTTTGTTTATTTATTTACTACATTTGTATACTGCCCTTCTCAGCCCTTAAGTGACTCAGGGCGGTTTACAATGGCAATGATTCGATGCCCCAAAATACCATAAAACATTTTAAAACATTAACACACAATATAAAACCATAACAAGAATACTAAAAGCATACATCATTTGCGTCTCCTAATAAAAATATTGTCCCATCTTGTCATCCAGTCATTCCAATTCCTATGTCTTTATTATATTTTTCCCAGACATCAGATCCTGTTACTTCAGTGCTGGAAAAATATTGCAACCATGCAATAGCAGTAGTCATGTTAACCTCAGCAGAAGAAGTTCACATAATAAACCAGTTGTGTGGAAGTGTTTCCTAAGCAGATAAAGAATGTAAGAATCAATGTAGTATTTTGTTTGAACAAAGTTTATTTTCATACTATATTTTAGAGCCACAGACAGCAACTATTGAGGAGCTACAGCAGATAAAGGCTTTTGGGAAGCTACTAAAGAAGCAAGACAAGGAGCTAAAAGAGCTGGAGCGGAAGATGATCAAGCGCAGAGAAGAGCTGTTGCAGAAATATGCTGTCCTTTTTACAGAATTGGCTGCCCAGCCTGGCAAAAAGAAGGCTCCAGGCCCTCCAAGAAACCCCAAAAAGAAGAGGTAGGAAAAGCTAATCCAAAATCCATATTAGGCTAATAACTTGTTTATGTTCAGGCAAAATAGTAAGCAAGTCAGTTGGCAGACTGATGATGTTTCAGTAATATAAGAATGGCTGATATCATGCAAGGTTTAAGAAGATACCTGAAGGGTTTAAAAGATCACCATTTAAATGATGACTGGCATCCTGTTTAGTATTTATGGTTGTGTAAGCCTCCCTTAAGCCATCACAATTCACTTTTATTTTAGTTGCACATGCAATGACCCAAAGCCTCCCCCCAAAAACCATACATTTTCAGCAAGCAACATGCCCATTTCTGTGTTGCCAGAAAATAGGGGGGTGAGCAGAGATGCATCCAGCTCTCTTCCTGTAGCTTGATATGCTTAGAAAAGTATCTGCTGACATCTCGGCAAGCATCTCTCCAGCTAGCGATTTGGGGATAATTTCCACCAGTATTTCAATTGGAAAGTATTATCCAACTCGGTTTTGCATTTTTAAACTTTTTCCATCTTTTTTTCTGAAATGTTATTTTATTAGGCCTTTGAATTGGCACAGTGAAGATATACTAATATGGATTTTGGAGTTTTTCCAAAAAAACTTTCATTTAATTTTGGTGCTTGAAAAAGCAGCAATATGTGAAGCTGGTGTTGACAGATGATTGGAAATGCCTGGTTTACTCCCAGTGGTATGCCTATTTGTTTCTCAGGTGTGCAGTTAAATAGATGAAGAGCACACAAGTAAGAAAACAACAAAAAGCATTATTCATGGAAATAAGTGCATAGTGATTTTAATCACAAATGCTTAGAAGTCCCAATGTGTTTTTGAGGAAATACCTCAGATCAGGGATGTAAATAAGCAGACTATTGAATATATATATATATATATATATATATATATATAGAGAGAGAGAGAGAGAGAGAGAGAGAGAGAGAGAGAGAGAGAGAGAGGACACTCAGTTGCCTACCCCTGGCATAAAGGAGACATCACATAATAGCAATATAATATATTACTATACTCATGCAATATGTTTCCTTGCTATATAGTAAGACTTATCCCTCTGTCTCTGAAGTTGCAGGAGGTTACCTTTGGATGAGAGCAGGGATTCTGTGGAAATAGCAGAAAGCCCTGACAACAGAGTCTTGGAGTTGAAAGATAAGCTGGAGGAAGAACTACTTCAGATGGGGGAAGAGCATTACGACGGGATTCGGAAGAAGAAAGAGCAGCATGCCACAGAGGTACAGCCCATGACTTCAATGCCATGATTATTATTTTTCAGGTTAAAAAAAACCTGGTTTACTCATGAATTTTAACTGGTCGACCAAATCCCCATTCTAAGTCTATGAGAAGCAAAAACTAAACGAGCTTCCAGAACTGCAAGCACTATCTCAAGCAAATTTTGACAATTTATTCACAGTCATTACTTGCAGCAATAGCTGATATAGTGGAAGCAACCAAGTTGGCCCACCCACAACTAGTAGGCAAAGACTAAGGCATGGGTGGGATTTGAGACCCCTCATGAAGGAGACGAGAAAATTGATTTAATTAAGTCTATAGAATGAACCATACTATTTTAATTATTTTGTGTTACGGGACTACTATTCATGGTTCACTAAAACAAAATTCAACACCCCCCCCCCCCCCCATTTTTTCTCTCGCTACGGTCCTAATGGAACCGATATTAATTGAACAAGTTGGGGCCTTCAGTGTGTGCATCGCCATTCATGTATTTGCTTACTTGCTTACATTTAGAACAAACATCTTAGGGCAGCTCATAATATGAAAGAAAACAAAGGTTCAGTAATCACAAGGAAAGTATAATACAGAACTAAAGAATGACAAGAAAAGTATATTATAGCATGAAAACACAGACAGGTATCCAATGCTGCAGTTACAAATGTATAAGCTAGAGTTACAGGTCAGTAAATACTCTGTATTTTATTGTAAAACTACATCAGTATCACCCCAGCCCACTGCATTTCCCTGGCACCATATGACTCCAAAGGGCCTTTCACAACCAAGGAACTATTCCCCCAATGCTCCCTCTCCTGTATCTGCCTACTGCACCACTCTCGACAAGGGCACACAGTTAAGAGCTGCCAAAGATCTCAATTTTCTGATAGGCACAGAGAGAAAGCTTCTAATAGCGACTGCATGAGCCCAACTCACATTGTCACATTATAATTGGGTACAGTTTCAAAGAAGCCTAAGTGCTCACATTGTAAGGCAATGCAATTGCTGTACAATAAATAATAATTATTATTGACTGACAGGTTATTCACATGGCACAAGTAAAAGCTTAGAAAAATTGGATGTGCTAGTCCCCCCCCCCCCTGCATTTCTGGTATAATATTAAAAAAAAAGACAAATGTACACATGGGAAGATTCAGTTTCTGAAACTGTGTGAGATGCATGTAGCTTGTGTATCTCTCTCTCTCTCTCTCTCTCTCTCTCTTGCATATTTTAGCACAAATACAGGAAACACTCAGGAAGAAATTGCATACTTGCTCTTTGCAGCATAGCTACCCTGATAGATCGGCAAGAGAATAGATAATGGTTCAATTGACTTTAATCTCAGATATTTTGACCTTGGGTAAGTCATGCTCTCTCAGCCCAAGAAGAACAAATCTTACCAAGAAAACTCTGTAAACTCTTCTCAGTTCACCCTAGGGTTGCAATGTAAGAAAAGACTTGAAGGCACATACAAAAAGATGTTAGTGAACTGCAACTCCCTGCAGCCCTAGCCAACAGTGAGGCATGCTGAAAACTACAATTCAACAACACATTGAATGCTGTTAAGTCCTCAGTCCTTATTTAAATGCATTTAAACTAAAACACCGCTGAACAAAAATCTGAACAAAATCTCTGAAGATGCAGGCAAAACATCAGGAGAGAATGCTACTGGAACATGGCCATACAGCCTGAAATACTCACAACACAGTGATTCCAGCTATGAAACCAACATATACACACAACACCTTGCTTTCTAAAATGAGAAAGTATCTAAAGAGAAAGACATTTACACCAGGAGAAAATACTCAAATTAGTAAGAATTACATCTGATTCTACCAACTTTGCTTTTACCCTGGCACAGTCTACTAAAGACACATCACACATCAAGATCTGAATTTGAATTTGGTTCCTAGACTAGAAATCCACATCACTTCAGAAGAAAGCTGACTAGACCATTCCATACATATCTATCATGATCAGTTCTTTTTTCCTAGTAGAGACCTAGTATAATTCATGATGACTTCATTATATATTATATACATTAGCAATACCTAGACTGGACAGATGGGATCAAAACTCCAAACATCCACCAACATTCCTGTCTTCAGTTGTCCAGGATCCACAGATGGATCAAAGAGCATATGCTATTATTTTTGTCATATGTGAATTTGGCTCCCCCTTGTGATCAATTCCTTATTTTAACACATTTTTTGTGTGAAAGTTAAGTACAGAGGGTTCATGGTACATATCTGCTGGGGCTTGGTTCTTCATAGAATCATAGAATCAAAGAGTTGGAAGAGACCTCATGGGCCATCCAGTCCAACCCCCTGCCAAGAAGCAGGAATATTGCATTCAAATCACCCCTCACAGATGGCCATCCAGCCTCTGTTTAAAAGCTTCCAAAGAAGGAGCCTCCACCACACTCCGGGGCAGAGAGTTCCACTGCTGAACGGCTCTCACAGTCAGGAAGTTCTTCCTCATGTTCAGATGGAATCTCTCTTGTAGTTTGAAGCCATTGTTCCATTGCGTCCTAGTCTCCAGGGAAGCAGAAAACAAGCTTGCTCCCTCCTCCCTGTGGCTTCCTCTCACATATATACATGGCTATCATATCTCCTCTCAGCCTTCTCTTCTTCAGGCTAAACATGCCCAGCTCCTTAAGCCGCTCCTCATAGGGCTTGTTCTCCAGACCCTTGATCATTTTAGTCGCCCTCCTCTGGACACATTCCAGCTTGTCAATATCTCTCTTGAATTGTGGTGCCCAGAATTGGACACAGTATTCCAGGTGTGGTCTAACCAGAGCAGAATAGAGGGGTAGCATGACTTCCTCCCTCCATACCATGCATATCAAAATCCGTGGATTCTCGCATCCTATTATCTATAATGGCATAGTAAAATGGTGTCCTCTATATAAAATGGCAAAATAATGGTTTCCTTTTTGGATTAAAAAAAATCAAGCAGTAAATAGTTGGATCCATGGATGCAGAGGGCCGATTCCAGATAGTCCATACTGAACTATCTGGATCAAACTCTTAATTTGCAAAGTGACAGAAAACAAAAAGTTTAAACCTGACATTGTATCCTGTGTTTTTTTAAACAGCATATTGCTAAAACAATAGAACTTGCAAGAGATAAACAAGCAGCTGAGCTGAAGGCACTAAAAGAATCCTGTGAAAGGTATATAATGAAATCACATGTAGCGGTTTTACAGCATTTAATGAATTAATTTTGAATGGCTTGATTTCCCATTGCTTCCCGCTCATTCCATTTTACCCTTGATGTTTTTTGTACTGCACGATTTCATATCTATATATTCTGTCATTTTTCTTTATTTGTCCTTTGTCACCACATTTAGAATATTTCACCTTTACAAAATATGTTTGGATCTCAGCTGCTCGAGATAATATATAGCCTCCTGGGCACAGGGGGGAAATTAATTGATGTGCACAATTTGCTTCACGCAGAAGACCATACAAAATAATATATTAATAGTCTGAATTGATCAATGTTACTGACAGCATACAAGAGCTATGTCAGAAACAAGGATCTTTGGATTGCACCTTAGTATTAATTAGATATCGCAGTGACACAGCAATTTAAACCTGAGCTGAGGAACTTGCTGATCGAAAGGCTGGCAGTTTGAATCCTCCGAGTGGGGTGAGCTCCCATCGTTAGCCCTATCTCCTGCCAACCTTGCAGTTCTAAAACATGCAAATGTGAGTAGATCAATAGGTACCACTCTGGTGGGAAAGGAATGGTACTCGATGCAGTCATGCCGGCCACATGACCCAGAAGGTATCTACGGACAACACTGTCTCTTCGGCATAGAAATTTTGATGACTGGTGAATAAGTGTACTCCTGTATTTAAGCTGCATTTAGCTGCAGGCACTTGGAAACTGAGTGTAATGCTTCCTCTGAACATCTGGGGACTGCAATGTTTAAAACAACAACACTGATCAACTCTTCAAGGAATCAGAAAGGGCCCCATGCATATAATTCTTGTCACTTCATGCCTGGTCCTTTGAATCAGGACACAAATCTTAGGGATAGACTACACATTATATTGAAGGAGCAGTATCTAGGACTAAGATATGTTCTTTTTTTCACATATGCAAGCAAGACTGAGTTCAATTTACACCAGTCCCTCTCTGTACTGATAAGGGAAGGGCATATATTTCCTCCCTGGTTTGTTTTTCAAAATCAAATGTGGACACCCTTCACAGAAAATAAGAACTAGGGTAAAAAATGTACTGGCACAGATGCAAACCTTTTTACCTTTTTCTTCCTACCTTTGTTTCTTTTCAGTACATTTCGTTTTTTCATGTGCTGACGTGATCTAGAGCAGGCTCTATGTGATTAGTTATGTTTGGGTTTTTTTTAAAGTTTTTATTACCAGACAGTGCACATTTAATGTAATTTAGTCCTTAATCAGTCAAGTGTGTGGATAATCTATCGGTGTGATCTATCAGTGCCCAAAGGGATCCAAAAATATATAATTGACAGAAGGGATTCACATGATGTAACCTGCAAATAACATGTCCCAGTGGGATCTTTCGCCTCAGGCAAGGAACATTTTCAATCTAGTAAACACAAAGCTTTATGTTGTGCCTTGTTTGCCAATCTATGTTTCCAGACCAAATGCTTCAAGACATTATTCCTTGTTTTTTATTTTAAAAATGTTATCAATGAGATTAATAAACTTTAACAGACCATATCAATCCTTTGCAGTGAGACTAAAGAAATGAAGAAGAAACTAGAGGCAAAGAGGCTGGATAAAGTCCAGAGCATAGCAAAGAACACCACTGATAAGAGTGCTCAGGAAAGGTAAAACTGAATGACACTTTTGCAGTGCTAGGTGTTAATTGGTCAAACATAATAGGGTCAATGTTCTTGTTAATGTTAACTAGGAGTTAAAGTAGCTTTCCCGAGCCTGATGTCTTCCATGTTTTGAGGCCATGAGTCCTATGTCCCAGACAGCATCAAATGTATTGTTTCTAAGTTGTAACAACAGAAAAAAACCTATTAGAAGACAACATAAAAGACACTGATAGGTGACATCACAAAACAAAACTTAAGGTTTGTATAATTTCAGAAAGGCTATTTAGAAGTTGACTGTATTTGTTTTGACAGAACTCTCATCTTTGCCAAAGTAACAGCAAATAAAGCATTCTTACATTTTATGTGATTCTGTTTCCCACTGAGATGTCCAGGATTGTGACAGACAGATCTAAACAATATTCTAAATAATATTCTAAATAGTGATGATATCCCTAATGCTTTGATGTCTGGTATCTTCCTTGTGAGTGGAATAGTTTTAAAGGAGCTATCCATAATACTGATAATTCTTGGTCTCAGTACCTTTGGTGCTTAACATTCAGATTAACGCAGAGAAGATTCCCCACTGCACTGACACTGAAAGCACTAGGTCGCACTGCAAGTTTAAGTTGGCAAACCAAGTCTTCAGTCAACCTGTCTTCTCACATGCAGTGCTTTTGTCCTAATTGTTTAGTGCCATTGTGATGAATGGAATGCTTTCAGTTGGTCCCAGACTTGTACTATCTAGCCTATAACTACCAGAAACCCTTCCATGTTGGCTGATGTTCTGGGCTCCGAAATCCATCCATGGACCATTATTTGGAAACTACTGATGTCTACATGGAAGAAAAGCTGGCTTTCTTGCAAGCACCACCTGAATCCTTATTGGGGTTCAGGTGGCTCTTATAAGGCTAAGAGTACTTCACTCCTCCCATTGTTCCTCTCTTTGGGGCAAAAGTGGGAGACACAAAATCTAAAGTGCTACATTATTCCCACCCTTGATTTATGGCATTGTACTAGGCACAATGCCTTTTATAGACAGGTGTATACTTGTGATGTCCTATATGGAAATACTGTTATTTTAATGTATAAGTGGACAGCTATGAGATTAGGACAGCCCACCTTTAAACCTTTCTCCTTTTGATGAGGAATTTCTAAAATTTAATGACTGATATTGTATTGTTGTTTTGTCTAAAGATTGAAGAAAGAGATCAATAATGCCCACATTCAGGAAGTAGTACAAACAGTCAAGCAGGTAAGTGTCTTTCAGGAACCTGTCTGTAGCCTTTTAAACAAGAGCTTCTCTGAGGAAGTTGCGTAGCTAGAGAGCAAAAAATGAAACTCTCACCTAGTAAACATTTAGCAGACTGGAGTCCTTTCCACTCGTGGATGACCTCTGCAGTATAACATATCCCTCTCAATCGGGCAATGTAAGAATTTAGGATTGCACTCTTAGCTGTAAAGAGGTTCTCAGCAACCTCTCCTGCTACACTAGGAACAAGAGGGTTGGCATCCTGTTCGGGACATATGCACCCATGTTTCCTTGATGTGTTTATATGGCCTTTTGGGAGTGCTGTAGAAGCTGGCTTTCCCTTTCTCTCTCCACAATGCCCAAGCTCTCACCTCAACTTATTGAATAGCCTCTGAAGCCACCACAAAGCAGTTCCCCACTTTGTGAGGAGAGGATAAGATTATAGAAGTTTCTCCCTCTAGCTAGAACTCAAATGATACTTCTTGTCTAGCTATGGCAGTGGTTCCCAACCTCTGGTCTGTGGACCAACAGTGCTCCGTAAGAACTAAAATATGGCATGTAGCCTCACAATTAGTACACTGTTGCAAGGAGAACAACTGGTTTCACAAAACCCTCTTATAGTGCCAAGGCTGTGAGCAGATGGTGACTACTGAATGGCATATCTTCTGTATCACAAGCCAAAGCTGATGCGGTCTATCCATTGCAATTTTCTGAAATACCATCCCAAAGAACCAAACCGAATCCAAAGTTGACCCAAAACTGATTCGTAACCCCTTTGGTACTAATGTTTGAGAGTGGTCCCTGGTCAAAATAAGGTTAGGAATCACTGAGCTATGGAAATGGAGTAAAATACTTGTCCTGCCCACAAAGCAGAGAATGGCTGTGCATGGAGAGGGACGTCAGACTGTTCGGGAAGCCGGGTTATGCTATGCTTAGCCTAGCATAGTTCCACATGATGCTCTACTACTTCTACAGCAAGACCTACAAAATTGCAGCCACACACTGTCTTGTTCCAGCATATAGCAAACCTTGTACGGTATGGAACTGCCTGCATTCTCCAAATCTAATGACTTTCACATCCAATCATCTCCATAAAAGCTGTTTGCTGTGTATAATACTGGCAGTCCACTATAGCATCCATTTCTAATATCTCTCTATAGAAATATTGTTGTTTACCTATTGCTATATAACTCAACTTGGCAGAATGATGAAGATTTTACATTGATGTTAAGTTACCAATAGAGCAACAGGTTTGAGAGTGACTGGTGTACCATTGCTTTATGTGCCTGCTATAACAATTCTTAATCATACTGCTTTTAGCAGAGAAGGAAGGCTGGCTAGGTTGTGCAGTAATACTGCTGAATTTATATAGTTGTATTTAAGATTACTTCCAACATAAGTTGTTGCTTTCTCTTCAAGATGAATGAAAAACAGAATAGATATCAGCAAATACTGGAAGCAAAGCAGACAGCCTGTATAGAAAAGATCAAGGAAAAGGAAAATCAGGTATTTCAATACAAATGAATCCTAAATTGACAAGAATCATGACTTTTGAAGATGGGGCAGAAAATAATATGGACAAACAGAAATATTATTATCAGTTTTGAAAATGCTGCTTTCTGAACAAAAATGCATGCAAATGTTGCACTTAATCAAGCCCACCTATGAGTGGTCTACAAAAGCTGTTTTTGAAAACTTTCTCAGAGGGGAAATTAAATTGAAATCTTAATGGAAACTAACTCCCACCCCTACCAAGCATCTTTGACACCCACCCACCCTGGTAACCATAAGGTATATGTTCTTGAATTTACTATAGTTAATAGGCAACCCTATTAAACAATTGCCTCTAGAAGATACCATAGAGCAGGCCTGCACAACCTGCAGCTCGTCAGGTGTTTCGGACTCCAGCTCCCAACATTCCTGGCCATTTGTACAGTTGGTTAAAATTTCTGGGATTTGGAGGCCCAAACACCTGGCAGGCTACAGATTGTGCAGGCCTGACATAGGGTCACACTGGAGAACTTAAATTTCCCTGTGCAACTCTATAGCAACTTCTAGGAGAAGCAAACTATAGAATTGCCTGGAGGACTTACAACATTCCTAAAGATGACATCTTTTATTGGGAGGCGGGTATATGAGACATAGTACCAGTACCATGAATACAGGGACCATATTGTTCAGTGATAAATTTATGTCAATGTGACTGCAAGCTAGACAGCTCAGTTAACTGCAAGTCAAAACTTGGGGAAGCTGTTTTGGGGGAGCGTAGCTCACAAAATCCCAAAGAAGATCTGAGGGATTGTGGGAGCCACAGCCCAAGAAAAGGAACTCTGTTGCAAACCACATGGATTCTAAGAACCCTGCCAGCAAGTAGCAGCCCAGTGAGGTTAGTTTTCTCATGTATAACTTCCCATATCTCTTGTTCAGCTGCAGGAGGAAGCCTTCATAGAATATGAAGGGAAAGTGGAAGGCCTCAGTGCAGAAGTGCAAGATTTGGTGAAGACCTGTGTGAAGGTCTCTTTCCCTCTGGAAGCTAATATGGCAAAGGAAGAGGCCCTCTGTGCAGTCCCTGAAGAAGACCTGGGCCCAAAGGAGCAGTTGCATGGAAAAGATCTGACTGAAACCATAAAAAGTGAAGAGCAGGTGGCTGAGAATACCAAAGAGGAGGAAGAGGATTCCAGTGTAATTCAGGACAGCAGATTGTGAGATTTCACTTATTTTCAGGACTTCTCTGTTTCAGACTTCAGCTCCATGGAGCTCTTAATAACAGATTTTTATAAAATAATAGCTTTTAATAATTTTTCCTTGGTCTCTGTGAAAATGTGGAAATTTTGATCTGCAGGGAACCTTCTACTCAAATGAGCTAACAGATAATGCCGTGAAAGACGATACTTGCTGAAAGCAGAATAGACAAATCTCAGAAGACGTTTGAGTCAGAAGCACAATGGTTCAGCTAATCCAGCACCCGATCTCCTGTTGTGGCTAGTCGCTTGTGGCAGGATGTGAAGGCAACAGAGGAGGAAGCATTTTACCCATACGGAAGCAGACTTCCCCCACCCAAGAATATGTGCCCTAGGCTTTGTCACTATTTTAATGAAAGCATTTCTGGATCAGGGTAATTGTATGGTGTATATAAGATCTGAAATGCTTCAGATATCCCATTGATGCTTTAACACTTTGCTTTAACTGATCACGGCCCATCATTAATGCAAATTACTTTTTGGCATACTTTAAAAAAGCACATTTAATGTAAGGACTATTATGAAATAGATTGTCAGAATGAAACTGTTTCTTGTTGAGATTTCAATCAAATCCCCATGCCATTTGTCACCCCTTTTTGGGACCAAGAATGGTAGATATTGGAACCATGTATGTGGACAAGGACTTAAAGCAACATACTTGACTCCTGATCTTGCTCTAGATTCCTGCTCTCTTTTCTTTATTCCAAGGCAGGAGGGGGACCCTAATCCAGTCAATAAAGCATCCATAAACAGACCTAGAGAGTATGGAGGTATTTCCCTGCATGTAGCTCACAATCCTAGTTTGGGAGATAGGCTGCACCTGAAAAAATCCTAATTTTGTTGCAGGTTTGAGATTGGAGAAAAGTTTATCTCATACCACTTGTGTTCCCAGTCCTCTAGGAAACTGTGGTTAGTCTTGGAAATATGATCAGTTTGAGCAATACTTCCGTCAAGGCAAGATCTCACTTTTTACATAAGCTGAAGACAAGTGCTCTAAGAGTGGATGGTCGTGTGTTTATCACGATATTTAGAAATAACTGCAGATGCCTTGAAACTTGTTTCTCAGGCAGCATTAAATCGCAAACTCCAGTCTGTTGGCAGAAAAACAGCCTATGTGCTGTTATTTATTTTCCCAAATATTAAAATATTACACACACACACACACACACACACACATATATATATATCCCTCTATCAGCTCCAGCTCCTCATGCGGGGATATGAGAGAAGCCTCCCACAAGGATTATAAAAACATCAAATCATCCGGACGTCCCCTGGCCAACATCCTTGCAGATGGCCAATTCTCTCATACCAGGAGCAACTTGCAGTCCTGACATGACAAAAAAAAATAGTATTTGAGTTGCTTGTGTTTGAAACTGATTAATAATGTTTCCAAGTGGTTGGATGAAAGGAAATGCCAAAAAGGCCACCAGGCAGTCAGGGCCAACACAGGCTACCTGCCTGACCTCCTCCATTCTTGTTCTGAGGAAGAAGCAGAGAGAATGAAGATAAGGCAACTTTTCCTCCTGCTGCTCTAGAAATTCTGTTTGGAATCCTGCTGGGAGCTTACATCTTTGTAAACAGACTTACATATGCAAGAATTAGAATTGGCTGCTGTTACTACATTGCAGAGTTAACAAAGGGTCCAATGCACACTGATGTCTCATTGGACCAATGTATAACGGGCACTCTTGTTGATGTCATTACACAGTTTTGTAATTCAATAAAGGGATTTTCTAGTGCCTCTGCTAAAGCAGAGAAACATAAATAACAAATATAAACTTCTGGTGGATGCTGGCATGGGATGCTTGAAGCTCTGCTTGAAGTCAATGAGACGGCGTGGAGGACTATTTTGGATGCAGGAACAAAGGCATGGTGGGACAGAAGACTAAGAAAATGTGCAGTGTCGTAGGTGGTTTTCCCAGTCCCCCCTCCACACTCACACCGGTGTCTTTCATCCAGGGACATTGAAACCATTGCCATTGTCATCAGCATCTGAGTAGATTTCCTGGACCTGCCACTGCTTTTATCTTACATTCCTCCTCCATCCACAGAGGAAGAGCATAGGAATGTGCACGTCTATGCATATTCAGACTGAAGGTAGGCCTTCCTGGGGCAACAAAACTAGAAAAAAAAGTTCCATAGGGGCATTTCTAATTCCTATCCTGCAGCCAGAGCCCCTAATGTCTGCCACGGAAGACCAGGTGGAACACATTGGGTATCTGCCAGTAAAATATAATTTCCACTTCTCTCATTTACATTCAGATCTCGGTACTCTGCACCACAAGGAATACACACTTTACAGTAGTAATAAAGATGCCCAGATGAGATACATTTGAAGATTAGCACTGTTCCTTATCCTCATCAGCAATACCCTAGTACTGGCTTGTATTCCTTCCAGATTGCCTTCTGAGAACAATTACAAAGAGGTTGTAGGGCATTTTAATACCCTTAGCAAGTCACACTAGTGCACCTGATGTGATTGGAAGTTACGTCATTTCAATTCCAGCTTTCTTTTTGAAATAACGGTTGAACAAAAATGGGCTGGGCAAAAATTCCCATCTGCTTATCTCATTGATGACTAAAACATGTTGTTTAGAGACTGCTGCAGCAACCGGCAAAAAGTGTCCCGTTTTCACCTGACGAATACTCAGTGCCTCCTGAGAATATCACCTGCTTTGAAAGGAGACAGGATTTTAATTAATCGTAATCATCTCTCTCAGGATGGCTGAACCACAAGGAAAGTCAGCACAGGGAAACCAGCTTCACCCAGAGGGAACATGCAATAAGAATCACAACTAGAAGAACAATAATCTTGTGCCAAGGCAGGCAGGACTCAAGAGATTTGCTCCCCTACTGGGCTAACAAAGTGGGATTATATCCTTATAAGACAGTGGTTCCGAACCTTTGGTGCTCCAGTTGTTTTGGACTTCAACTCCCAGAAATCCCAGCCAGCTTATCAGCTGTTAGGAATTGTAGGAGCTGAAGCCCAAAACACCTGACAGACCAAAGGTTGGGAACCACTGTAAATATAAGAACATCAGGACAAGTAAGCACCAGTTAATACCAAACGTTTTCCTTTTTTTTTTCATATAGTATATACATTCCTTAGCTGGAATTGTTAGGGATGTCTACATGTGTAAGATGTACCTTTTTCAGTGTCCTTTTTCAGACACTGCAGGGGTTGATATTCTCTCCAGACATGAAATGATAACATCTGTTATCTTCCTTGGCTGTGTCCATTTTGCATCTGGCTTTGGAGATGTAATGGCTTGCACGGATCAAATGGCTTTTCAGTATGTTAGCAGGCTGGTTTATGAATCAGCAGAGCATAGATCTGCACACAGGTATTTATACTATGAAGAAGCAACATAGGGGAGACATATGTGTTAGAAGACTAAGCTAATCTATTTAGGGATGCCATGTACATGCTATGGTTTATACCAGTGTTTCCCAAAGTATGGTCCCCTAAGTGTTTCTGACTTCAGTTCCCAGAAACCCTGCTCATTGGCCAAGACAAGGAGTAGTAGTCCAAAAACACCTGGAGGATGAGTTTAAGAATCACTGGTTTGTACCTTTATGCCTGTTTATTTTTGGATATTAATAGAGGCAAGGTATTTATTTCATCCCTCCCCTAAGACTTACCATGCAACCTCTGAAATCCCAACCCACGCACCCTATAACATAAGTATTCTGTGCCTTAGGGAGAATATGAAGGATCAAAATAGCAAAATGTTTATAGCAGTGCTGAGATCTCCAGATGATCCCAGCAAATTTTTAGTGCTGCTGAAATCATTTTGCAACTGGCTATAGTGGGCATGTTATAGGGTGCGTGGGTTGGGATTTCAGAGGTTGCATGGTAAGTCTTAGGGGAGGGATGAAATAAATACCTTGCCTCTATTAATATCCAAAAATAAACAGGCATAAAGGTACAAACCAGTGATTCTTAAACTCATCCTCCAGGAGCAGAGGATAAGTTCAACTAGCCCCAGATGTGATGACGCAGCTAGCTCAAAGCCGAAAGGAAGGCTAGCGGCCGACGGTACTGGAGGTGAATGACGAATCCGATGCTCTAAAGATCAACACACCATAGGAACCTGGAATGTAAGATCTATGAGCCAGGGCAAATTGGATGTTGTTATTGGTGAGATGTCAAGACTAAAGATAGACATTCTGGGGGTCAGCGAACTGAAATGGACTGGAATGGGCCACTTCACATCAGATGGCAACCAGATCTACTACTGCGGACAAGAGGAACATCGAAGAAATGGAGTAGCCTTCATAATTAATAAGAAATTCGCTAAAGCGGTGCTTGGATACAACCCAAAAAATGACAGAATGATCTCAATTCGAGTGCAAGGAAAGCCTTTTAACATTACTGCAATCCAAATACACGCCCCAACCACAGTTGCTAAAAAAGCAGGAGTAGATCATTTCTATGAGGATCTGCAGCACCTACTGGATAATATACCAAAAAGAGACATTATTTTCATTACAGGAGACTGGAATGCCAAGGTGGGAAGTTAAATGACAACTGGGATCACAGGCAAGCATGGTCTGGGAGAACAAAATGAAGCGGGACGCAGGCTGATAGAATTTTGCCAGGAAAACTCGCTGTGTATAACGAATACTCTCTTCCAACAACCTAAAAGACGGCTTTATACATGGACCTCACCAGATGGTAAACACCGAAATCAGATTGACTACATCCTTTGCAGCCAAAGGTGGCGGACATCCATCCAGTCGGTGAAAACAAGACCTGGGGCTGACTGTAGCTCAGATCACGAACTTCTTATTGCCCAATTTAGAATAAAACTAAAGAGACCAGGGAAAATACACAGACCAGTTAGATATGATCTCACTAACATTCCTAGCGAATATACAGTGGAAGTGAAGAACAGATTTGAAGGACTAGATTTAGTAAACAGAGTCCCAGAAGAACTATGGACAGAAGTCCGCGACATTGTCCAGGAGGCGGCAACAAAGTACGTCCCAAAGAAAAAGAAAACCAAGAAGGCAAAATGGTTGTCTGCTGAGACACTGGAAGTAGCCCAAGAAAGGAGGAAAGCAAAAGGAAACAGAGATAAGGGGAGATATGCCCAGTTAAATGCGCAATTCCAGAGGTTAGCCAGAAGAGATAAGGAACTATTTTTAAATAAGCAATGCATGGAAGTGGAAGAAGACAACAGAATAGGAAGGACAAGAGACCTCTTCCAGAAAATTAGAAACATTGGAGGTAAATTTCAGGCAAAAATTGGTATGATAAGAAACAAAGATGGCAGGGACCTAACAGAAGCTGAAGAGATCAAGAGAAGGTGGCGAGACTATACAGAAGATCTGTATAGGAAGGATAATAATATTGAGGATAGTTTTGACGGTGTGGTGAATGAATTAGAACCAGACATCCTGAGGAGTGAGGTTGAATGGGCCTTAAGAAGCATTGCTAACAACAAGGCAGCAGGAGACGACGGGATCCCAGCTGAACTGTTTAAAATCTTAAAAGATGATGCTGTCAAGGTGATGCATGCCATTTGCCAGCAAATATGGAAAACACAAGAATGGCCATCAGACTGGAAAAAATCAACTTATATCCCCATACCAAAAAAGGGAAATGCGAAAGACTGCTCAAACTTCCGTACAGTGGCCCTTATTTCTCATGCCAGTAAGGTAATGCTCAAGATCCTGCAAGGAAGACTCCAGCAATACATGGAGAGAGAGTTGCCAGATGTTCAAGCTGGGTTTAGAAAAGGCAGAGGAACGAGAGGCCAGATTGCCAATATCCGCTGGATAATGGAGAAAGGCAGGGAGTTTCAGAAAAACATCTACTTCTGCTTCATTGACTATTCTAAAGCCTTTGACTGTGTGGATCATAATAAATTGTGGCAAGTTCTTGGTGGGATGGGCATCCAAGCCACCTTGTCTCTCTCCTGAGGAATCTGTACAAGGACCAAGTAGCAACAGTAAGAACTGACCAAGGAACAACAGACTGGTTCAAGATTGGGAAAGGCGTACGGCAAGGCTGCATACTCTCACCCAACCTTTTTAACTTGTATGCAGAACACATCATGCGATGTGCGGGGCTTGACGAATGCAAGGCTGGGGTGAAAATTGCTGGAAGAAACATTAACAACCTCAGATATGCAGATGACACCACTCTGATGGCCGAAAGCGAGGAGGAGCTGAGGAGCCTTCTAATCAAGGTGAAAGAAGAAAGCGCAAAAGCCGGGTTGCAGCTAAACATTAAAAAAACCAAGATTATGGCAACAAGAATGATTGACAACTGGGAAATAGAGGGAGAAAACGTGGAGGCCGTGACAGACTTTGTATTTCTAGGTGCAAAGATTACTGCAGACGCAGACTGCAGCCAGGAAATCAGAAGATGTTTACTTCTTGGGAGGAGAGCAATGACCAGTCTCGATAAAATAGTGAAGAGTAGAGACATCACACTGGCAACAAAGATCCGCATAGTCAAAGCATGGTATTCCCTGTAGTCACCTACGGATGTGAGAGCTGGACCTTAGGGAAGGCTGAGCGAAGGAAGATCGATGCTTTTGAACTGTGGTGTGGAGGAAAGTTCTGAGAGTGCCTTGGACTGCGAGAAGATCCAACCAGTCCATCCTCCAGGAAATAAAGCCCGACTGCTCACTGGAGGGAAAGATACTAGAGACAAAGTTGAAGTATATAAATATATATAATTTATATAAATATACATATATATATCTACATATGCTGGGGAAAGTGGAAGGTAAAAGGAAGAGTGCCCGACCAAGGGCAAGATGGATGGATGGCATCCTTGAAGTGACTGGACTGACCTTGAAGGAGCTGGGGGTGGTGACGGCCGACAGGGAGCTCTGGCGTGGGCTGGTCCATGAGGTCACGAAGAGTCGGAGACGACTGAACGAATGAACAACAAATAGTGGGCATGGCAAACCCCCCCCCCCCCCCCCCAAGCATTTTGAACTTCCACTTCCCACAATTCCTAACAGCCTTCGGCCCGGGGAAAGGAAGGGGCCTGAAGCTGTTAAGAATTGTGAGAACTGAAATCCAAAGCACCTGGAGGCTCAAAGTTTGCCCATGCCCAGACTACAGGGACATAGCCAGATGCCTTTCAGATAATTTTTTCTACTTTGCTCAAGGCATGGAATAGTCATGGTGGGCTATATGACGAAGTTTGCCCATGCCTGGGCTACAGGGACATAGACAGATGCCTTTCAGATCCTTTTGGCTTTGCTCAAGGCACACAATAGTCGTGGTGGGGTATATGGCTAAATATATGGCCAAAGTTTGCCCATGCCTGGGCTACAGGAACATAACCTGATGCCTTGCGGATCCTTCTGGCTTTGCTCAAGGCACAGAATAGTTGTGGTGAGGTATATGGCTAAGTATATGGCTCAATTTTGTATATCCTGCATGTGATTTTGATTCCTTGAGTATTGATCAGGCACGGGAAAACGTGGGCCGTCCAGGTGTTTTGGACTTCCACTTCCACCATTCCTAACAGCTTCATGCCCCTTCCTTAAGCGATGAGGGAGAAAAGGAACGGGCCTGAGGCTGTTAGGAATGGTAGGAGTTGAAGTCCAAAGATTCCTATATAAATCAGGCATGGGCAAACTTAGGCCTTCCCTCCAGGTGTTTTGGACGTCCACTTCCACCATTCTTAACAACTTCAGGTCCCTTCCTTTTCCTCCTCAGCCGCTTGGAAGAGGCCTGAGGCTGTTAAGAATGGTGGGAGTTGAAGTCCAAAACACCTGGCGGGAGGGCCCAGGTTTGCCCATGCCTGTTTAAAGGGTCTCGAGCCTTCCCTGCTCTCAGCGCAGCGGGCGCGTGCTCTTGCTCAGCTCCAGCGAGAGCGAGCGCGCGAGTGAGCGCGAGGCCTTGGAGGCGACGGGGGAAGGGTGCCGTCGCCATGGCAACCGTAGGCCACCGGGATAAAAGGCCCTCCTCGCCGGCGCCGGGGCCTCCTTCTCCTCCGCGGTGTCTTCGTGCTGGCCGGCCATGGCCACGCTCCGCCCGCGGGACCTGGGCCCGGGCGCCTCGACGCGGACCTTCCTGTCGGCCATGGCGTCGGGGCGGCTGCGCCTGGCGCGCTTCGTGCTGGACGCGCTGGAGGGCGCCTTCGTGGACTGCCGGGCGGAGCGGGGCCGGACGCCGCTGATGCTGGCCGTGCTGCTGCCGGAGCCCGGGGCGCGGCTGGCCTTCGCGCGGCTGCTGCTGGAGCGGGGCGCGGCCGCCGACCTGCGCGACGACACCGGGCGCAGCGCCCTCTCGCTGGCCTGCGAGCGCGGGGACTTGGAGGCCGCCCAGCTCCTCGTGCGCCACGGCGCCGACCCCGACGCGCCCGACGCCGAGGGGCGCAGCCCGCTCATGTACGCCGCCGGCCGCGGGCACAGCGCCCTCCTCGAGTGGCTCCTGCGCGCCTTCCGACGCCTCGGACAGCTCGGCCTGGACCGCGCCGACCGGCGGGGACGCACCGCCCTCCAGTGGGCCCGGGAGGCCGGCCACGCGCGCTGCGTCCGCGCCCTGCGCCAAGCCGGAGCCTCCCCCGCCGCCCAGGAAGACCAGGAGGAGGAGGAGGAGAAGGCGCCCGCCACACGAGAGGGGCGCCCCCTGGAGGCCGAGGACGTCGCGGCCCCGCGAGCCCGCCCCCTGCGCCGGAGGGCCACCGCCCCCGACGGCCTTGGCCTCGCCGGACCCTGAGGGAGACCCGCACAGCCCCGTCCGCCTTGGCCTGCCTCTGCTGCCGGGCGCCCTGCTCGCCCGCTCTTCCGCCCCCCTTCAAGCCTCGTCTACAAGGCAGTCCCCGAGTTACGGACACAACCGCCTCTGTCGGCTTGTTCTTAAATTGATTTTGACTGTAAATCGGAACAGGTACTTTTTTTCAAGTGTAACTCCAGCCATATGTGTGTGTGTGGCTGAAGTTAGACTTGAAAAATATACCTGTTCCAATTTACAGTCAGAATCAATTTAAGAACAAGATATATATATGAGAGAAGGTAAAAGTTTCCCCTGACATGAAGTCTAGTCGTGTCCGACTCTGGGGAGTAGTGCTCGTCTCCGTTTCTAAGCTGAAGAGCCGGTGTTGTCCATACACATCTCCTAGGTCATGTGGCTGGCATTTTTTAAATTGTTTTATTGTGTTTTTTCCCCACTCCCACCCTCCCTTCCTTGTACATGCAATTTATACATCAAACTCCAGAAGTTACATTTGAAATATCAGTCTCAGTTTTAATTTTAAGACTGGTTAAGTCATGTGGCTGGCATGACTGCATGGAGCGCTGTTACCTTCTTTCAGAAGCAGTACCTATTGATTTACTCACATTTGCATGTTTTTGAACTGCTAGGTTGGCAGAAGCTGGGGCTACCAGCGGGAGCTCAACCTGCTCCCTGGATTAGAACCTCCAACCGTTCGATCAGCAAGTTCAGCAGTTCAGCGGTTTAACCCACTATGCCACCAGGGGCGCATATATATATGAGGGTGGGTCAAAACGTGTTGCCTCTTGTGTCATACCAATGTTATGAAAAGACATATAACAGCAAAAGTTGCTACAGATCATAACCTGAACTGTCCCCTACACAAAACTACTGTTCAACAAGATTCAAGTCATTGGACCTCTGAAAGAAAACCTATGTTGTGTTCAGATTCAGTGACTTGAATGACGTTCAAACAGCTTTTAAAATCATGGGTGACAAAGCAAAACCCTGAATTTTTCCAAAATGGTTTTGATGCCTGGGTTAAACAATGTTTCAAATGTGTATAAAGTGATGGCGACTATGTTGAACGGTAGTTTTATGTAGAGGATAGTTGAGGCTATGATCTGTAGCAACTTCTGCTTTTATATGTTCGTTCATAGATCTCCTTGGACAGCATAGGGAAAGGTTAACACCCCTGTGGTGTTTGTTTTGCCATCTGTGCTCCTGTTCAGAAGATTTCACCTCACTTTTGATCCATGTTATAATTGGATTTTGAAAAAATGGCTTGTTGTGGAAACAAAGATTGGGGAGAAAGCTTCAGTGAAGACACTCCCCCCCCCCCCAATTATTAACTCCTCCAGGACTTAATTTCCCTTCCTAGTGGTCGATTTCTCTCACGTCCTGTTGTCTCACCCTTGTTCTTAACTCTTGAGTCATTTGTAAATCGGATGACTGTAACTCTGGGGCTGCCTGTAATCCAGTCTCTGAGTCCAAATGATGTGCTTTGAATTTTATTATATGGCATTATAGATCCACCTCAGTGCAAGAAGGGAGGCCGCACTTTGTTCCATTTTGGACAGCAGACTCTGGGCTGTTGAATTGTGAGGAGAAGGAGGTGCTTTTTAGTCATATTCTTTGGATTCCTTGAAGAAAGATAAATGTGTGTGTCAAGACCGAAATTCAGATATATTTTCGGACTGTAGCAGAGAACGTTGACTTGCTGATCATATTCCTAGAGATGGGAACCTGATGCAGATCGGTATCACTTGTTCCAAATCCTTGGGATCGGATTTTGAGTGGCTCTCCCCACCAGATTTTTGGAATACTTGTCAACATCATCATAGATGATCACTCATGGCTGAATAAGGTTGTCTTCCAAAGGTAGAATCTTGGCAGTGGTTCCGTAAGTGACTGTAGAGACCTATTCTGGATCCACATGAGGACATACATTTCCAGGTGGAAGGCGGTCATGAAAAGGGTTTGCTTGATGTGCCTTCCTCTTGGCACATTTCTCCCTTCTGCCCTCCATTTGTGCCTCTTCAAAGTTCATAATTGGGACCGCCAATAAAAATGCTTGTATTTTCATGTACATACATAATGAGGTATCTTGGAGATGGGATCCAAGTCAGGACATTGCATATTTTTATACCATACTTTCAAAACAAATTGTGTTGAAACAAGTTTGTGTACATTGAACCATCTGTACGCAAAAGTGTCACTCTCTAAGCTACTACCCTCAGCCGCTCAATGTGGACAATTTTAGCGATTTTGGAATTCCAGATAAGGGATGCTCAGCCTGTATACTTGTTGCTGACCTTCCCTTGTACAGCTCACGGGAGAAGTGGCAACATAAATAATAGAACCCATACAGTACAATTGATTGAAACTTTTGCCATTTGTGTGGACAGCTTCAGATTTTGGAGAACAGGCTGAGCATCCCTTATCGTGACATCTGAACTATTCCAGACTTGTCCACATGGGAGGTTGAGATAGTGGCTGCTTTGCTTTCTGACGGTTAAGTGTACACTAACTGTTTTGTGTACAAAATTGTTAATAATATTATATTAAATTACTTTCAGGTTATGTGTCTAAGAGGTGTAGATTAACTTAAATGAATTTCATGTTTAGACTTGGGCCCTATTGCCAAGATATCTCATGTATGTAAATACAAATCCAGGTATTCTCAAATTCAAAAAAATCCCAAACCCTCCTGGACCCAGGCATTTTGGATAAGAGATATTCAACCTGTAAAATTACTGTTCACTATCCCACCAAATAATGTTATTTCAGGTTTCAGTCAGATGCAAATCATGGTCTTCCTTTGAAATCAGAGGATCTTCCAATGCATAGTTACTTGAATAATGCTCAGTGCAGTTTCCATCCTTGGGCAAACATTGCAGACTATGGAGATGAAAAGACATTATGATATTTTTGTCACTGTTGGTCTTATATGTGCCTTTAAGTTGATGCTCACTCATGGCAACCCTATCCTAAAGTTTTCTTGCAAAGGTTTATTCAGAGGAGGCTTGCCATTGCTTTTGAGGCTGAAAGAGTGCAACTAGTTCAAGGTTTTCATAACTGGGAGAAGATTTGAACTCTGTCCTTCCAGAGTTCTGTTTAAACACACAATCCACTACATCACACTGGCTCTTTAGATAAATAGGGAAGGAGGTGATGGCAAAAAGGTCTTGTAAAATTAATCTCTTCTGATTATTATACCTTTTGCTGGCAAAATGCATTAGGAATTTGTAGTCATCTGGGTGAACAAAGAAGAACTGAAATAGAAGTTATTTTTTTTAAAGATCACAGACAGCTATGTCCAGATTTTCATGTACATACACCAGCTTGTCCAGATGGTGATGTGCTACTGCCAGGATCTTATGGGTCTCAGTTCCAATTGCTGAGGAACATGAGCAGGACACTGCTAAAGCCTTTATGTTCTACTTGTGTGGTTCCCATAAGGTACAAGGATGGCAATTGTGCACTTAGAATGCTAAAGCAGGCGCCCGCTCATATTGTATAATTATAGCACTGTACTTCCACTTTAGCAGCCAGTGCTGCATCCTACAGAATCCTGGGGATTTGTTGTTAGCTGGGGCACTAGAGCTCCCTGGCTGAGACTCCAAATACCCCTCCTTAAACTGCAAATCCTAAGAATCGTGGTAATGTGTACTGTGAATGAGCCTTATATAACCCCATCAATCTTATCTAACATAGCCTCCTTCCCGTGTTTGTATGTGAATTCTGCACTTTATAACAAGTGACATCCCAGAAAAATTGGTTGGAGGTAAATAGCAGAATAATTTTTGGTGGTTTCTTAATGTAACTTTTATAATGAATGAAATAATAATAGTCCTGTATTTGACTGCATTTGTACCTGGTCGATTGAATTTGATGGAGCTTACTTTTGAGTAAGCATGTATATATTTCCCTATAATTAGCTATTAATTATTCCGGCAAAAGGCAAAAGAACTGTTTGTTTATTTATCTGTTTATTTATTTTATGGCCTTCTTTTCTACAGGTGTGTGATCAAATGGCTAGATGGATATATTTTTATAATGCTAGTGACAGATTTACCCTGTTGCTTTTTGAAATGATTTTTTTTATTTTTTTTAAATTAATTTATATATAATAGGCCAAGGCAGGGTGCAATAAAACAGTGGAACTTCTCCTGAAATCCTCCAGAGAAATATAGAAGAAATACAAAACAGAAGTAATGCAGTAAAATTTGACAGCAGCAGCATTACAACTGAAGACTGATTAGATTCTGAGAAGATACTTCACTTTTCATTTTTACTTGTGCAGGGTTATTGACTGGGGCAGACTTGTGTAATAACAAGTATAAAAAGACATAAAGGGAGCCCTGCAGCACCCTTTTGGACTAACTGGGAAGAAGACATTTCTAGCATAAGCTTTCTGGACTTGGTCTGCTTCATCAGATGCCAGATAAATGAATGTCTTTGAATTAGAGATCCAAATCAATTTCATGAATGTACATGTAATATTCATATGCACTCAATTGACTTATTTACCTGACATTATTTCAGTGGACTGTTCTTTTTTTCCGGAGTAAATGTAGTAAATGCTACAGCATTTGTTTCTTTATTGAAGATTCTAAATATCTGACAATCAGGTTGCCAGTTAGACTCTTGGTGCACTGCATGTACCTACTGATGTCTTTGGATGTTTGTATTATTTCACTTGATATGGTATTTTCCACCTATATATTACTTTTTGTTTATTTATCAAATTATGTCAGGCATGAACTCAAAAACTGCCATACAATGTGTGAAGTGTCAGGTGCACAATAAAATTGTCCAAAAACTTTGTCTTTGGTTAAAATCATTTGTGTGTATGTGTGATGGGGGGAGAATATTTGGAGTTGGGCTACAATTCCTTTTCACCCTGCCTAACTTAAACCAGCCCTTTGAGCCAAATATTTAGCATTAGCAAGGAAAAGAGTGGGACTAGAATATTAGGAGCTTATCTGGTCCCCATTTTATTAGGTAAATGGCAAATTCAAGGAAACTTTTTAATCCAGGGAAATGGCAAAGGGACATTTTATCCACTGCTTCCTGATCTAAACGTGTCTCCCATCAAAGTGCTTTTAACAAAACAAAAGAAAAAAGACATGGGGAATGGCTGTCTAATCAGAGGTCCCAAATTATACAAACCTACCTTATGAAACTATCTTGGCAAAATTGTATTTTGGGGGGCAGAGAACACAACTGCCTAAATCTAAGTTGTCTGGGAAATTACAAATGGTAGCATTGATCATGATAGTGGTATTTATATCTTTTTTGTTAGCCTAGGAAGCAAGATCCCTTTCTTGTTGGGTGCCTCTGAGAATAATTTCCAACTCGGAGACATCATAAGGGATTTCCTGAGGATGAGTTTGTAACTCACCCATATACAAAAATTTAAATCAAAATTATTCTAATCCTTCCCCACCCCAATTCCTTTTTCAAGCTTTCTTCAGATTTTCTGACCCTCTGTGTCTTCCCATGGCCAGCACAGAAACACATGTATTGCACCTCAGTCTAGGGCTCTATATACACTTAATACCCTTTAAGTTATGTGTTCTGTATTTCATTTTATCAAAATGAATGAGTTCTTGTGTGGGTGTCACTGCATCTGTGCTTTTTTGCTCCCACATCCATAAGTATTTCATTCTCAATACTATCTTTTTGGTCATTCCCAGTTGAAGAAATTCTGTTGAACCACCAGACTTCTTTCTTCATCTGTTCCTAGGTCTGAAATTGCCCGGAGGCAAGATGTGAACTCTGTAGTTAGCAGCTTCTTTCTGTATTGTCAGAAAATGACCATGAATGCAATTTTTTTAAAAAAATCTGATCGTTGCAGTGTATATATGAATAATCAAAATTTCATTTTAATTTAAAACAGCAAACAATTCACAAAAAGAGGAAACATTTGTTTTAAGATAATTAGACTTAAAAAAACTTTTTTGCACAAAACCCAGAAACATACAGAAATATTTTACAACAAACATTTCCCCAACATTTTGACCTGTTGGTTTTTATACTTTTACTATCACCATTTCTCTGCAACTGGGTAGATAGATAACTTAAGAGTAGAATCTGGTGTGTAAAAGTAACTGTTTTGGATTACAATTCGCTGTATCCTCTAGCTACCATGCTATTGGGAGTATTGTATGAGTTATGGTCCAAAACATTAACTTTTGTTAGTTCTGTTTATGAGGCAGTAAGAACTGAAGTTGATCCCTTTTAACATTCCCTCCCTCCCTCCCTTTCTATAACCTTTGTAGTCCACAAATGCAAAACGTCTGTTTCACAAGACTGAACTCCAGATATGCCACAATTACGCCCCGTACAGTAATGCACATAATACAACCTAAGCTAAGCATTAAATTACCTTGACCTGATAACCTTGACACCAATAAGATCTGCCATACAAAATGTTTGCATCAACTTTAGAAAAGAATATTAAAAGTAGTCCACCTTCATCCAGGAACTTTTTGGACTCTTATTCCATGCACTCCCTCTGCTCTTTAAAAAAAAACATGGGAGGCAGGGACTAAATATTCTTACCAGCAAAACGAATTTCTCAGTGGAATAAACAAAAGCGCTCCAATGCTTTATTAACCTTGCTACATAATCCAAAGCTGGTATAAACAACACCCATCCAATTTAGCTGCCTCAGAGAAATGTCCGTTGGCACATTCAATGCTATTTTGAGGGGGTCGGGTATTGGCAAAGTTGAGAAGTCAGATTTAGACGACACCTGTGATGCCTTCTCATAAAGTCACTGCTTGGGAAGGCACAGGTTGTGGAGTCTCAAGCATAAGGTTAAGCTGTCTCTGAAGAAATGTATGCAGTGGAGAGCTCCTCTCCAGATGATGTTCAGTTGTGAAATGACTGACCACTCTTCGCTTTTCAAAAGTCGTTCTTGCATAAAGACATGAAAGTTCTGGAAGGAAATAAGGTATCCAATCCTTTTACAATGCAGGTTAAATTCCTCTTAAGAAAGAAGTGATACAATTTAGGATTATAGGGTGAGAATGCCTACCTTGTAGTCAACATTACAGAACAAAGATGATTCTGCTAAAGGGGTATCTCTGTAATTCAGTCACTTGTTTATGTCTCTGGAGTTGTGCAGAAAAACATTCTAAGATGTAAGAGTAATCTTTCCAATGCTGTACATAAATAACATCCTTGTGAAACATGAACAATCTGGGCGCTTCACAATATATTACAGTTAGGATTTGCAGGAATCCAACTTTTGATTGTCTTCAGCGGAGGGGGAAAGGAGAGTAAAGATTAGAAAGAAGCCAAAGATGGTGAAAATTCCCTCTTATGTTCACATCTTGGGGGGGGGGGGGGCGGGACACTGAAAAATTAGAAACAAATACCGGCAAATTCAAAACTGAGGGCTAAGATATCTGAAATACTTTTTTCATCTGTATGAGCCTGCCCATAATTTGAGAATTTCATCAGAAGTCCTGACTGTTCCACCATTGTCAGCAGATAAATAAAGTGGATATTACTCTGTAGCAGAACTTTTGTTGTAGAACTCTTCCAAGGGAAGTCTGGTACTGACTTTTCAACCAGGAATAAAAATTCTTTTCATAGGCTTTTGAATGTATTTTGGCCTATTTTTAAAAGAGAATGTTTTGTTTTAAAATAAAAGTTTTGACTTTAATTGAGCATCATTTTGCGGGCTCTGACGAGCAGAAAAAGTATATATAAATATTTGTAATCATAACAAGAGTAATCCAGTGAATGTTTCCAGGAGAACGTTTGCACCGCAATACTATGATGCTAGGGGTCCATGAGTTCAGGGTCAGCAGGTGGAGGTGCGTTTCCTGTAGCGTTGGATAAGGGGCACCAGGCACTCTGGGAGTCCAGTCTGAAGCAAGAAGGGATGATCCAAGAGTTCTTGTGCTGTTGCTCGCTCCAAGGGGTCTCGTGTTAACATCCGTTCCAAGAAGTCTCTTAAAACTGGTGATGTCTATCAAAAAAAGAAAAAAAATCAAGTTAACGTATTTTTAGGATGAGGGATTAAATACTACTAGGCTTTTAGAAGTACATATTCTGAAAATAACTGCAGCAAGAGATTATTCTTCATACAGGAATCCAGATGAGGGCAACCAAAATGATTAGAGATCTGGAAGCCAAACCCATGAGGTATGACTTAGGGAGCTGGGTATCACTAGCTTGGAGAAGAGCAGGTTCTGAGGGGACATGATAGCCTAGTATAACTATTTCAAAGGATGTCATACTAAGCAAGGGTCAAACTTGTTTTCTGCTGCTTTAGAAACTAGACAATTGAGGAATGGATTCAAAAGAGATTTCTGACAGTAAAATGTTAGACAATGGAATATGCTAGCTTAGAGTGTGGTGAAGTTTCCCAACAGACGGTCATTCGGTCTTTGCTTAAAAGCCAAAAGAGAAAGAGTTCTTCCTAATGGTTAGGTGGCATCTCTTTTCTTCCTAATGTTTAGGTGGAAACTCTAGTATGGTGCAGTGCATATTGAAATGGAAGGGAATGGAAATATGACTTGAAATCTCTCCTTGGTCACAAAGTTCACTGGAAAGCTTTTAGTTTATCATTTCCTCAGAGGGTAATTTGTCTGATGGGTTATTATGAAATATAAATGAAATAAAGATGCATGCTTCCCCCTCAATCCTTGCTATAGGACACATTGCTGTATTTCATGATAAGAAATCATTCACACTCTACAGCTATACAAAATTAACAATACTATAATCAAGTTTTGCTGTAACATATAAAATGCAGATGCATCATTAAATGAGGGTTTCTTGCTTATGTGGAAATATTGCCTGATACTTTCTTTTTTCAAAACTAGTCTACTCTCCTACCATCACTGCTGAAGTAATTTTCACACACTATGTAGGGCTGTGCTTGAAGTTGGCCTGGAAACTTCAGTTAGTGCAAATATCGGCAGCCAGGTTGTTAACAAGGGCAAATTACTGGGAGCGGTGAACCCCCCTATTCAAACAGCTCCACTGACTGTTGATAAGTTTCCTGTCTCAATTCAAGGGGCAGGTTATCACCTACAAAGCCCTAAACGGTTCAGGTCTTGCCTATTTTCGCGACCACATCTTCCCCTACAAACCCGTGCAATCTCTAAGATCTTCTGGGGAGGATCTCCTCTCCTACCTCCGTCACAAGTGTAGTTGGTGGGGACGAGAGCAAGGGCCTTCTTGGTGGTGGCCCCCTAGCTCTGGAACTCTCTCCCCAGGGAGATTAGACTTTTTGTAAAGACCTAAAACATGGATGTTCCACTGTGCTTTTGATTAAACAATACCCCAGATAATTTTGGTCCCCCAGCTATGACACAAGATCTAGCCCTTGCACTTTTCTACCATTCCATGCCTACTCCTAGTCTGTCATCTGGCTTTTGCACTTTATCCATCAGCTTTGTCCTTGTAACCGATTTGTACCAGCCCACCACCTGAGCTCAGAAATTGTTTACTATGTCAGGCTATTTGTTGTTGTGTGATGGTTGCTTTATACTGTTTTGTAATATTGTTTTATGAATTTTATTGTGCTATATTTTAAACTATGTTGATTGGGCTTGTCCCCATGTAAGCTGCCCCGGGTCCCTTCATGGAGATGGTGGTGGAATACAAAAATAAATTTATTATTATTATTATTAGTAGTAGTAGTAGTAGTAGTAGTAGTAATAGTAGTATTGCCAGTCCATGAAACAATAGTGGCACCCTTAACCTTTGGTAGGTAGACAGATAGAAAATGACTTTAAGTAAAGGAGCAAATGAAATATTTGTCCACAGCTGCATGTCTACCATGCAGCTGTGGACAAGTCTACATAGGGACCACCAAATGCAGCGCCCAAACAAGAATCCAGGAACATGAAAGGCACTGCAGACTACTCCAACCAGAGAAATCAGCCATAGCAGAGCACCTGATGAACCAACCTGACACAGCATTTTATTTGAGAACACAAAAATGCTGGACCACTCTCACAACCACCATGTCAGACTACACAGAGAAGCCATTGAAATCCACAAACATGTGGACAATTTCAACAGAAAGGAAGAAACCATGAAAATGAACAAAATCTGGCTACCAGTATTAAAAAATTCTAAAATTGCAACAGCAAAAACAGCAGAGAGAAAAACAGGCAGGGACATCTAATCACCTTTCAAGAAGAGTTTGCTCCAGGCACAGTCAGCCCATTGTATGCTAATCAAGGTGGTCAGTTGAAAGATTCACACCTAGCCCAACTTACAAAAGCCCTTTGTCTCACCCTGGTCATTCCACAGATATATAAACCCCCTTTTTTCCCAGTTCCAGCAGACCTCACTACCTCTGAGGATGCTTGCCATAGATGCAGGCGAAACGTCAGGAGAAATGCCTCTAGAACATGGCCATATAGCCCGAAAAAACCCACAAGAACTGAGTATTTTAGCACATGTTTGTAAATTCTGCTACTGAAATAAGTGATTCCTTGCACTTGCCACTAGATGCCAGCAATCGCCTGCATAACCGACAAATAAAACTGCCAACTTTAAATCATGAACAGCTAGGTAATTAACAAGGGGAATGAATAGCTAGCTGTAAAGGAAGCAGTTTTCATATCACATCTAGACATATTCAGGTCCTAGAGCCCAATTTCAGATTAACAGGAGGTCTTAATTGGCTCCCCGATATCCTCAAATATTACAAAAATCCAAAAGCAGAAATCAGTTGTGTTGAATTTTTTAAAAATATAAACCATGTGTGTGCACGTGTTTCTTCAAATCACCAGTCATTTATGGTGACCCAATTAAGGTTTTTTAGATAAGGAATACTCAGACATGTTTTGCCAATTCTTTTCAGAAACACAGCCTAAAGCACCTGACTTTGCATATATATTATTGTATGTGGCAATGACCGGTGTGCTTGTTTCATTGGGTGGATGTGCAGTGTGCACACAATGGGAATTTGTCACCAGGAAGCATTTCTTAGTTGGATACACATACACTATAATTAATCATTCTGATTTCATTAGAAGTGACTGCCTATGGATGCTTTTCAACCTTTCGGATATATTTGTAACATTGTTCAGTGATAACACAATACAGTTGGCCCTTCGTATCCACACATTATGCATCCATGGATTCAACCATCCACAGCTTGAAAAGGTTCCCAACAAATTCCACCCCCCCCCCCCAAACTTTGATTTGGGGATTAAATATAAGGGATAGCATATTACTATGCCATTGTACAGAATGCGACTTGCGCACCCATGGGTTTTGGTAACCATTGAGGGTCAGGGAACCAAACCTTAGTAAGTACGAAGAACATGTGTGGGATTTTTGCACATATACTGACCTTATGACAATTCTTTATTTTGGGTGGAGGGCTGTCACGAAGCCGCTTCATTGCTTGTACTGGAGAATCACTGAAATAAGGAGGTTCTCCATCTACCATCTCTATCACCATGATGCCCAAAGACCAGATGTCTACCTGTAAAAGCAAAATAACTCCATCAGAGCACGTGATTCTCTTTGTTCAAAGGAAATTTGCCATTACTTCCCTCTTAGAGTGACAGAGATAGCTCATAGTTATGCAGTGGAACTCCATGTCCAAGCAGTAATTTGAATCCTGGACCCCTGAATCCTAGTCCAGTCTTCAAACCAACACACTGCCTCTAAGTAGTATTGAATGAGATTATTTTCAGCAAAGAAGTTGAAAGGTCAATTGTGCAGACCTGCATACTAGAGAAAGAGAATCTTCGACCTCTGGCCATACTCCATCTGGCCTTCTTTTTAATCACTAATTAGAGATGAGAGAGGGAAAGGTACTTTAAAAGCATTCACACTTTTAAGGCCATGATTCCAGTAGATCCAATGGTGCAATTAAGTAGCAATAAGAAAAAGTTGCTGCCCCGAACATCAAGGAAAAAACAAACAAACCACCAGTGGTGACAGAAGGAAAAGTTGACTGACAGGTTCTGCTCCTTGAATATAGGATATGCGAGGTGGGGTTTCCATAGTGCCAAATCATTATAATGACCTGGACAATTGTTTGTGCTGCTTAACAAGCAATTGCCGAGGATGCCCCTCCATATTGCTATGGTTAGCAGAAGGAAGCCAAGCACTCAGGAAATAGGCAGCACAGAGCCGCCTCCTTCCATTGCTGTGCTGCCACCTGGATGGCCATTTGTCAGGGGTGATTTGAATGCAATATTCCTGCTTCTTGGCAGGGGGTTGGACTGGATGGCCCATGAGGTCTCTTCCAACTCTTTGATTCTATGATTCTATGATTCTCCTTCTCTCTGTATACAAATCCCCATGGATCCATCATATGAGCAATTCACAAACAGCACCTTATGCAATATACCCCTATAGGATCCCAGCTTAATCCCCCCCCCCCCTGACTAAATTGGGCTCTGCAAGTATGAAGTGACATTAACCTGGGACACACTTTCAGGCGCAAGTTTTATGCTGAAGTTTACTCCTGAGGAGTCAAGATTTCAGATGCATTTACACTGTTAATCGGTTTGATACCATGTTAACGAACATGGCTCAATGCTATGGAATCTTAGGATTTGTAGTTTTGTGAGGCTTTGAAAAACTATTACTTCCAGGAATCTACAGCATTGATTTATGGCAGTTAAAGTAGTTTCAAACTGCATTAATCCTACCGTTTTGATGCATCCTGAGGTTTGCATGCAACTCGGGAATCATCTATTGATGATTACTTTTGACTGCTGTAGATTTATAAGATTGCTAGAATATGTATAAAGAAGGCATAGCCCAGTATCATGCATTCTGCAGCCTGAACTGTTAACTTGTGGCCCTCCAGCAGTTGTTGAAGCATCAATTCCATTAGTCCTGTCCACAGTAGTGTATGATGAAGGTTAATGAGAGATGCAATCCCAAAGCACCTGGAGGATCATAGTTACTAGGCCTGTTTGATCAAGAAAAAATTTGTTTCTAAAATCGTTTTGTAATTGGGGTGTTTTTTTGTTTCGATATTTAAAATAATTACAAAACTTTCCCCAAAAAAAGTTTTGGTATTTACAAAATTTTGTAAATATTAACGAATTTTTAGAATATTTTTTATTTTTTAAGAATAATATTAAAATAATATTAAAAAATAATATTAAAAAATAATATTAAAAAATAATATTAAAAATATTTTAAAATGGAAAACGAAACCGCACAGGCCTACTATACAGACATAGCGGGTTTGAGTCAGACCCAGCTAACACCTCCCAACAAAGGATTCCCCTGAGCAGGAAGGAGCCAGACTTTGAAGCTACAAGGCCATTTAATCCCAATCAAGCTGTCCAATGGCAACATTCACACTTGCCTCCAACAGACAAGAGTTCTTTCTCCCACCCTGGACCTTACAGCCAGACTTTGAAGCTACAAGGCCATTTAATCCCAATCAAGCTGTCCAATGGCAACATTCACACTTGCCTCCAACAGACAAGAGTTCTTTCTCCCACCCTGGACCTTCTACAGCCAGGCTTTGAAGCTGCGAGGCCATTCAATGCTAATCAAGGTGGCCAATGGCAGCATTCACAATTGCCTCCAACAGACAAGGGTTCTTTCTCCCACCCTGGACGTTATTTCACAGGGATATAAACCCTACTTGGTTGCTAGAGCGCGCGCCTGCCTCCCTCCCTCCGCCAAACCGGAAGCCGAGGGCTCCATGTGCTCCTTCCTTAAAGAGACAGGCAGCAGCACACTGTTTTTCTCTCTCCCTCTCCTTTCGCCCGCTTGGAGAAGCGAGCAAGCAAGACAAGCAGCCCACAGCCAGGGATTTGGCACGTAAGTTGCTTCAGCCGCCCCTGATGCAGCGCTATTATACAGTACTTCACTCACTATGCAGCCGCATGTGGAGGAGGAGGAGTGTTGGAAAACGGGGAGAGGGGAAAGAGGGCGGGGAGAGCAGCCCAGGCCGAGAAAGAGGGGAATGGCACCAGCACTCCAGCAGCCTCCATCCCATTAACGAAACGAGCGGAAGCTCGTTAAATTTATGGGGGCTGCCGGTTCGATATTTTTAAACCCTTCCGGGTTTGAAAATGTGTTTTGATATTGCTTCAAAAATGCAAAAATAACGAATTAATAACGAAATAACGAAATAACGAACTAAATTGCACAGGCCTAATAGTTACACCTTCCTTGGGTAATGTAAAGCATCTCAAACAGGACTTGAACAGACACATTCTATTAATTTGATGTCATTTCTGAAATCAATGAACTATAATCACCTCAGTGGTATACGGGGATCTTGAAATAACCTCTGGGGCCATCCAATAAGGTGTTCCTACTAATGACTTCCTTTTTGGCACATCTTTACTGATTTGAGCACAAAAGCCAAAATCAGAGAGTTTCACCTATTCAAAAGAGAAAAACAATAATCATTGCACATCCAGAGCAAAGGAGGAGGAATAGGACAAAGGGGTATATAGTGGGGAACAAAGAATTAATGTCACCTTTCCCTACATCAAAACCCCAGCCTGGATCACCACCCCCACCACCTTATGAAACAATTTATTTTTTAATAAAAAATATTCAAAATTACTAATTACACGGATTTCCAGAAAGAATTTGAAATCCTAGTTATAACTTTTAATGTCCTTGGTGGCTCAGGTGATCCAGACTATTTGAAAGATCATATATCCATCAGGCATGTAGCCGGGGGGGGGGGGGGGGCTTGAGGGGCTTCAGCCCCCCCCTCCCCCAAAATTCTCATGGTGGTTCGCGAAAAGGCCTTACTGGTGTATTATTTAAACTGTTATGTTTATTCATATCATGATCTGATCACCATACTCAATATATCCCATATGCATGGGGGTATTGGGGTAACGATACAAAAGGTTTTCTAGGGTAGACCCTCTTTCACTCAGACTCACCCCTGCAAACAAACTCAGCCCCCCCCCCCCAAATCGAAATCCTGGCTACGGGCCTGATATCCATATATGACCCTGGCAGACTTTTAGGTTTTTAGGAGAGATCTTCCTATTGGTCACACTATCATCCAGACATCTTTGCTGAGGACATGAGAGAGAACCATCTTGGAGACTGCTCCCAAGTCATAGACATCCCTTCCATTGGTCCAGTCATCCCCTTTCTTGCTGTCTTTCTGCACACAGGCAAAGACCTTTTCATACAGGCAGGTATTTGGTTGTTGATTTGTTACAACAGATAAAGTTTTTAATGAGGGGTGGGCTTTTTTGTATTTTTATTACATTCCAAGGATTTTTTAAAACTATTTTTAACTTTTAAAACAGAACAGTGTTTTAATTGTCTTTTAAATTCTGTATTCATGCCCTTTTAAATTGCAATTTTCATAATGATGATGAGCTGTCTTGAATCCCATGCAGATAGAAGAATAAAATACATACTGATTTGCTCTTTACCTAATTTAAATTTTACACTGGTCATGACAGGGATTGAACCTGGGACTCTTGCATGCAGCATGACATAGAAGGAAGTTCAGAAAGAATTACAAGAAGTGGGAAAGAAAGAAGTAATGAATAGACTTACCCTTCCATCAAGAGTAAGAAGAATAGAATCACTCTTAATATCTCTGTGAATCACACCTTGAGAATGCAGGTAGGCAAGTGCCTGCAAGACTGACTCACACACTGTCGCAATTTGCTCTTCATTCAGCCTGAAATACAGCAGCCAAAACAATGCGCCGTAGCAATTTTGTTTCATAAGCACAAATGCTTAAACATTCACTTAACATTGAAGCATGACATTTAAAGCAAGTTCCTGTTCCATTCAGAGAAATAGGAGTGGCACCAGGCATTATTATAAATAGCTTTCGAAAGGGGTTGGACAAATTCATCCAAGATCAAGGATATAGGAATCAATCAATCAACGACCAGAATAGCCTAATGAAACTGTCTTATACAAGAGTATCATGTAGGTACAAAATAACCTTGCCCTCGTTGCTTAAATCAAAGCCAAATTAAACTTGTTAGCAAATTTGACACTGACCCAACTGGTCTCAACAAATCCTAGAAGTGGCTCACTCACTCTAGAAAGTACCATATATACTTGAGTATAAGCCGACCCGAATATAAGCCGAGGCACCTAATTTTACCACAAAAAAACCTGGGAAAATGTATTGACTCGAGTATAAGCCGAGGGTGAGAAATGCAGCAGCTACTGGTAAGTTTCAAAATAGAAATAGATACCAATATAATTACATTAATTGGGGCATCAATAGAGTAAATATTCAAAAATATTTAAATAAAATTGTAATTTAAGATAAAGCTGTCCAACTCTGATTAAACCATTATTCTAACCTTGTTCAATGTAAATGTGCTTACATATCCTTCCAATAATAATAAAGGGAGTAAAATAATAAATGTAATAAAAAGAATAATAGATTAAAATAATGGAAATGTAATAACAGTAATAAGAGAATAAAATAATAAATGTAATCTATATATATAAATTTCCTCCTAGCGTCGTATGAGGAAACAAAACTCAAAACCCCCCCAACGAAACTCCACCAAACTTCCCATGCCCCAAGGGCAACCAACAAGGTACAAACTAATCCACTCAGAAATCAAAAACACACAACAACAACCACAATAAACGGCAAAGCAACTGAGCATGCGCACTGGCGCAAACTCCCTGGCGCGCGCACACACATTGGGAACACATTCATTTAGAAGATTTCTATACCGGCCTTCTCAACCTCGGCGAGGGACTCAGGTCGGGTGCTTCCCGCATGAGGAAGAGGAGCAATGCTGAGGAAGGAGGCGGGGGCGCACTGACAACAGGGGGAAAGGCATGAAAAAGATGGGGGAGAATCCCAATCCACCCACACACCATCCTTAGGCCATTTAGCACCATAACACAGAAAGCTGCCATAAGGAGGCAACCACAGAGGGGAAAGATGGAGACAGTTAGTTGGAGAGTAGAGATGGGTTCAGAGCAGGCATGGGAGGGGGGGGGGGTGGTGGGGTACACGCGCGCTCGCACACACAGGACAACTCCATGTGGCAACAGCCTGGAGTCAGCCTTGGCTCTCTCCCTCCTCCTTCTCTCCCTTCCTTCTCTCTTCCCCCATTTTCTCCCTTCATGCCTTTCTTGCCTCCTCTCCTCCCTCCCTTTTCCCCTCATCCTTCCCCTCTTTCCTTCTCTCTTTCCTCTTTCCTTTCCTCCTTCCCTTCTTCCTCAATCTTGGGTGCTCTCCCCTTGGGTGCCGCCATCAAGGGCCTCCAGTAAGCCCCGCCCCTAATACAGCAGAGTGTGCTGGGGACGAAGGAAGGAAGGAAGGAAGGGGTGAGCCCAGTTCAGTTCCAGGTGAGCTGGACATCCAAGCAGCTCCCAAGGTCAAATTTCCACCAGAATTCACCTTTGGGCATATTGAGGATTCCTCCCAAGTTTGGTCCCGATCCATCTTTGTTTGGGTTCACAGTGCTCTCCGGATGAACAATTTCTCCTCCTCCTCCTCCTCATTCTCTCACCCACCCCAACTCCTCCTTCCTTTCTGTACTTCCCTTCCTTCTCCTTCCTTTAATTCTTTCCCTTCCCTTCCTTCCCTCCTTCCTCCCTCCCTTGCTCCTTCCTCCCTTTATCCCTTCCCTTCCTTCTTTTCTTTCCTTCCCTTTTCTCCCCCACCCCCCTCACCAGCTTCATCCTTCTTTATTAAATCTACACTTAGATGCACTCAAAGTCACCCCTTCCACACTGCCATGTACAATCCAGATTATCTACTTAGGACTGGATTCTATGGCAGTGTAGACACACACACACACAGATATGGATGGATACAGGATCACTGGTTGGTGGTATATATCTATATTCTGTCTATCTATCTCTATGTATATACATATATACATATATATAATTACAATACTATATATATTACTATTATATATTGCTATATAATACATAAATATTATATTATATATATTACTGTTATATCTATTACTATATAATATGTTACTACTATATGTTACTATATTAAATAGACTCCTAGAATACAGTTAGAAGGGACTGTACCAGACAGGAGAGAAGTAGGGAGGGAAGGAAGGAAGGAAAGAAAGAGGGACCGAAGGAAGGAAGGAAGAAGATAAAGTAGAAATGAAAGGAAAGGCAGGAAAGAGGTAAAGAAGGAAGGAAGGGAAAAGGAAATAAAAAGTGAAAGAAGCAAGAAAACAGTGAGAGGAAGACATGAGACGAAGAAGTAGAGAAAGGACGAGGGAAGGAAGGAAAGAGAGGAGGAAGGATGAAACCAAAGAATGAAATAAGGAATGAAAGAAAGAGGTAGAGAAGGAAGAAAGGAGAGAAAGGGGAAGGGGAAGAAAAAGAGGGGAAGGAATACGTAGGTACCTCCCTTTCATAATAGCCCAGATATCTACCTCTACTTCGAAAATTCTTACTATAGGCCACAGCAACGCGTGGCAGGGTACAGCTAGTAATAATAATAAATAGAGTGAAATAATAAATGTAATAACAATAAAGAGTAAAATAATAAATGTAATAATAATAATAAATAGAGTAAAATAATAAATGCAATAAAAATAATACTAATAACAGAGTAAAATAGTAAATAACATTGACTCGAATATAAGCCGAGGGGAGATTTTTCATCCTAAAAAGAGGGCTGAAAAACTAGGCTTATACTTGAGTATATACAGTAATTTCCCTTCTGTATGTTGCTCTTTACATTACAGACTTTATTGTGCCTGTGAACATCAGCGACTGATAGCTGGGAGTAGATTATATCCATACTAATGAGAGCCTTCATTCGTCTTTCTGGATTGTGGATTTATTTATGCTGTTTCCTCCACTGTTAGTTTATTGGTCTGTTTCTTTTTAATTATTTTTCCTTCTTCTATATTCAGTACAAGGGCCAATATTTAAGTGAATCAGTTTCTTCAGCTGCAGAAAGGCATGATCAAGACATCTGAAGAAACAAGTATGTGCTATGTTCTGCCTCTGGACTCCCTTCTTCCATCCTAGGGAGCCTTGTGGCCTTAAATGTGGTCAAGGACACTGTCCCACTACCTGGATTGAAGAAATATTCAACTGCCAGTCAGCTGGCTTTTAGTAGATGGAATGGAAAGAAGACCATCTTACTTTTTACTTCAGGCTTTAAAAAATCTATTGTGTTAGGCCTGCTCATGTAATACATATGCACTCACGCTGATAACTTCACATAACTGGCAAAGTGAGCTTGTGAAAACTCATGTTACGATTAGCTTTACAATATTTTTAAATGACAGTCAGACTCAGATGTGTGAAATATATTTTTTCTTACAAGCCCCCAAAACATTATCCTGGAACCTACTGGAAACTCTAACTGGACACATAATTCAGGGGCCTATGAAAATTCCACAAGCAAGACATGAGAGCATTAACCTATCTTGCTGTCATTCTTAATCATGCAGCAATCTGATGGATGTGCTTTTCATCTTTCAGGTAGCCAAGCTACAACTAATAACTGTCAGACTTATCCATCAATGAAGTTGTCTGAGTTCAACATACTTTTGAAGTCACCTAAGTTGGTGACCATCACCACATCTTTTGGCAGGGAAGCTTTTGATTGTGCACTAAAGTATTTTCACAGTGTTCCAACATTCAGTTCCACTGGGCATTGCTTATTGTTGAAGAACTAGCCTGAACATACACTTCATTGCTATAACACGGCACAATAAAGGTCACACAAAGATTCTTTGCTCTGTTATTGAGAACTGAATAGGCAATGTCACCGCAACAAATCTACATGAGACTGATGCCACAAGCAGTTTGTTGCTTAGTCCAAATTAAAGCTTTTAATGCAGGCATCCTCAAACTGTGGCCCTCCACCTGTTTGGGCCTCCAACTCCCAGAAGCCCTAATGAGCTTATTCAATTGTCAGGAATTCTGGGAATTAAAGGCCCAAACAGCTGGGGGGGCCACAGTTTGAGGATGCCTAACTTAAAGTGTCCATGCTGCTGTGTTCTTTTTCCTACCTGACTTGAGAAAGAATATCAGTGAGAGCTCCTCCCTGAAGGAATTCCATCAGCACCCAGAGTTCATCTCCCACAAGGTAACTTTTATACATCTCAACCACATTGTCATGTTGGTAATCTCGCATTATCACAACCTGAGAGGGATACAGAAAGAAAAATGACTGACAGTCTACACAAACATTTTTTACTGATCAAACACATCTGCAGTTCACAGTTCATTATATACTTGCCTAGTCAATCTGGAGACTCTGGAAGTCAAAGGAATATGTGACATCAAAATGCAAGCCATAAACAATGATATAACTCCACCTTAAGATCTGCAGACCAATGTCCCTAACCAAGAAGCACTATTCATTTGTCTCCCTTCCTTATGTAAGAGAAAGAATACCAGTTCTCACTACCACCTTTGTGTAAACTAGCCACAGCCTTCATTTTCTTCTACAGCTGTCTTCAAATCACCTCTAGAAATACAGGATCAGATTGAGTCATGCTCTATTCCGACTGAAATCAATGGGACACATTCATTTATTGTTTCTGTGCGATTGAGGGCTATTTCACACTACACAGACATAGTACTATGATTCCACTTTAACTGCCATGGTAAGATCCTATGGAATCTTGCAATTGGCAGATACTAGAACTTTATGGCTGAAACTCTTGCTGAAACTGTAAATCTCAGGATGGAACCATAGTAGTTAAAGTAAAATCATAGTGCTATGATTGTGTGATAAAGAACTCTAAACCTTGCTTCACATGCTTGATTCAGCTCAATTTAATCCAGTTAAAGACCATCCCACTTAATGGCGATCTAACTTATTTGCTTTCTTGGTGATTGCTCTCAAACTGTGGAGCTCCTTTCTAAGGGAGGTTCAGTTGGCCTTCTCTGTTGTCTTTCCACCAATATGCAAATAACTTTTATTTAGGAAGGCCTTTGGTTTTAACTGGTTGTAGAAAATGAAGCTTCTGCAAATGCTCAATGTAACATGAATTTCACCTCATTAAAAAGGAGCTCTCGTCGTTGCTGCTTCCGTAGGTCCATCATCTTCACTGCCACCTGCCGCCCAGAGTGCTTTTCACGAGCAATGCAGACAATCCCAGTCGACCCCTCACCAATCTTAACATAGTTCTCCAGCATTGTCCTGGGATCTCCTTGGTCTACCACCATCCTCAGTGCAGCTTTGAACTGCTCATGGGTTACAACTGCTGGATCCTCACTGGTTAGCTGCACTTTAGAGTCCAAGGGAAGGTGAAGGTTGCTGGAACTGGTTTGGGTATGGCGGTTCCGAGGGGAACCTGCTGGTGATGGCCTGCCTTGAGGCAAAGCTGATGCGTGCTCATTGGTTGGCGATTTCTGAGGGGTACTTGCTTCTGAAATCCTGGCATAATCCGGAACTGGCTGGTCAGAAGGAAGTGACTGGGATTTGGCTGCAGGGCTGTGTGGCGAACCCCAATGTGGTGGTGGCCTGTAGAAAGGGTTGGGCTTGAAAAGAAGAGAGTGTTGTTAACAAAGCTGGAACTCAAGTAAAGAAGCCATGAATATGAAAAGAGTTACAGCACATTAATCTAGTAAAAACAATAGTGTTTGAATATTGTAATTATCAGTATTAGTGGGTTGTTGTGAGTTTTCTGGGCTGTATAGCCATGTTCCAGAAGCATTCTCTCCTGATGTTTCTCCTGCATTTATTAGGAGGTCTCTTGGAAACGAGGAAATTGAAACATTCACACCTAACTCAAACAGATAAGAGCTCCTTCTCCTACCCTGGACATTCCACAGATATATAAACCTCATTTTTCTAGTTCCCAACAGACCTCACAACCTCTGAGGTGGCCTGCTATAGATGCAGGTGAAATGTCAGGAAAGAATGCTTCTGGAACATGGCCATACAGCCCGTAAAACTCACAACAACCCAGTGATTCCAGCCATGAAAGTTGTCGACAATACATCTCAGTATTAGACTCACATGGAAGGAAAGCAGCATTTTTGCTTTTATGACTCTAAAAGTGATTATAGTTCAATGGTTTTAGGTGTGTGAGGTCTGAGTTTAGATGATTGGTATTTATGGACATTTGTATTGTCCATGACAACACTAGAATCTCCAAATCCCTGTATCACCAAAACTCTCTTTTATATACAGGACTACTTTAAGATGAACTGAATACAGTTTGTAAAACACAAAGAAGTTGACATAGGCTTTTTTGGTTCTTGCATGTTTAATGAGAGCATAAAACCATATTGGCTACAAATGTACACTTGGTTTAGAAGTAACTCTCTTCCAGTTCCTATCATAACGTTAACAAGATTCACATGTACTAAAAAGGCCCAAGGGAACATCATAGCTTAAAACACCATCATTTTGGAGAGTGGAAACTGCCCTCCCTACAGAAAGCACTTGTACTAAAACTAATCCAGCAACAGTAACTTAATGACAGCCTAAATAGTGGATTGCTGCAGCGATTATCGTTTTGTTTTCTGGACGGAAAAGGATACTTGTTCCTTTATTTTATATTTAAATAGCAAATAAATAAAATAATGATTTTTGAAATGGCAGGCCTGAGGCCATTGCTATGGGATTTATTTATTTGTTTGTTTGTTTGTTTATTGTATTTATTTGTCAATGTTTACATCCAACATTTCTTCCAGTAAAAGTTAACCTATATCAGTGATTCTCAAAGTGATGATCCCTGGACCAATTCTGGTCTCTGGTAAATTTCCAATAAAAATCCCCAGTATCAACAACAAGTTTAGTGCCAATCCCTGGCATACTGGGAAAACATAATTGCCAGTTTCACACATTAAGTAGCATAAGAAACATTGACTACCCACTTTTCCATTGTGTTATAGTGCAAGACTATAACTGTGTGACCCTGTCACACCATACAACTATGGTATTATGGTTCTTCTACATATTAAGGAATCCAGGCATGTCCAATTTAGCAAAATGTATTTATAATTCTCTGCCAGGGAACTCCAATGCTTTAAAGGTAAAGATAAAGGTTTCCCCTGACATTAAGTCTAGTTGTATCTGACTCTGGGGGATGGTGCTCATCTCCATTTCTAAGCCAAAGAATTGGCATTGTCCGTAGACACCTCCAAGGTCATGTGGCCAGCATGAATGCATGGAGCACTGTTACCTTCCTGCAGAAGCAGTACTTATTGATCTACTCACATCTGCACATTTTCGAACTGCTAGGTTGGCAGAGACTGGGCCTAACAGTTGAAGATCGCCCTGCTCCCTGGATTCGAACCACCAACCTTTCTGCCAGCAAGTTCAGCAGTTCAGTGGTTTAACCTGCTGCACCACCAAGGAGCCCTTATCAAATTATAAATACTAGTATTCCATAGGATTTGTTATGGCAATCAATGCTGAATCCAAGTGCTATAACTGTGAAGTGCAAAGGGTCCCTTATCCTGTGAAATAGGTTAGAATGAAGAAATTGGATCATAGAATCATAGAGTTGGAAGAGACTTTGTGGGCCGTCCAGTCCTATCCCCTGCCAAGAAGAAGGAAAATCACATTCAAAGGATCAAGTTATCCTGGTATCTTTGTAGCCATGGGCGTATTTACACTGTAGGTGAACTGTCATGGCTGAACATTGTGGAAATACGGGAGTTGTGAGGCACAAAGTCATGTGGCAGAAAGGCAAAAGACTTTTTAAAACTCTCATGATTCCATAGAACTGAGCCAAGTCAGTTAAAGTGGTGTCAAACTGCATTAATTCTACAATTCAGATGCACTCTCAGTGAGTCCTGAATCTGGATCTCCTAAGTCTCAATTCAAGCACATGAGCCACAATGATCATAAATACATTGGAATACTCTATGATGTGTACATTACTGTGTCTGTGCATGAATATAACAATTGAATTATGGATAGTGTGGGGAAGGTGGAAGTAGTATTGCCATCATTTGTAATGACACGCATACACTGCTTTACAGTGAATCACAGAAGCATACACACTGATCTAAGCAAATGGTTAATCTGGTTTAGGCTGCACGTTTAGCATGTAATTTGTAATGTTTTAAAAACATTGATTCAGTGGTGGTGAAAATTTAATGGAACTTTTTTTTAATTGCACACAAGCACTAAAGAATAGGAGAATTTTCCTTCTCTGAAAACAGTTGTCTATACAAACTCTCAGTATTTATTGCAAGGACACCTTTAGTGCATAGCAAGTTTATTCCAAGTGTAGTAATTCAGTTTTATTTGTTACCAGCAGTTGCTTTCCAAAACAGCCTCACCATAAACTTAAACAAATTGATCCCATCCATAAAACAATTCACATATCTCGGATTTTCATGACAACGATTGATCAATCATATACCCTTTAATAAAGCCATGCCTATGATTGAAGCTGGCATCCAGAAAAAGAGCAATTCTAACGTTAAAAGCTGTAAAACAATAAAACATAGCACAATAAAAACCTCTATCGTCGCCAATTTCTTACAAAGAATGCCTTAATAAAAATAAGTAGCAAAATCTTCTATACTGCCACTACCATGAATACATTGTTTCCTTGGTTGTCAGTTTTCATAGAGCATGAAATAATATAATGCTACTAATAAGTAGCGGTAGTAAAGAAAAATGGGACAAGTCACAACAAAATGTTGCAGTACGGTACAATTCCATTCAGAATTCCAGACACTCAGTTCCACTCCACTGTCTCCTCAGGTCTTTCATGTCTATGGTATAAAGAAGTGGACTTGCAAGAAAATGGTGCAGTATAGGTATTATTTGGAGCCTAGCCATGTCCTAGCTTCACCCCTCCACTTTGGCTTTGCAAAGAGCTTTTGGACCAATAAGTTATGATTTTGGACCAATTACTCCCAGAATCCCCAAACCAATGTGGCTCCAATCTTATCTTTTGATGGAGCCACAGTCGCTTACACTCCCTGCCTATCTGTAAAATAAGGAATACATATTTTTTTAACTACCATGCATATAGTTTCACATAGCTCTCAAAAATGCTATTTTCAGAGTCTGGCTGTAGTGAAAGGTTTACTTGGGAAAAAACAATTATCCCAATGGAGAAGTAGCAATAATAGCAGTCCTGTCTTGGGAAAAATGCTCAGTATGTTTCAATAAATGTAAGTGCACCTCATGTCATAGGTTCAGTAAGTTTCTGTGGCCCAGAATCAGCTGGCATTTCTGAAGGATATTGAACTATTTCTTTAAAGCGCTTAAAAATCACCTAATACACATTTAAATAGAGCTTGCCCAAATTTGCAACAGAATACAATAAGACCTAACTGAAGAATTGACATGCCTGCAGGAATATGCACTCTGTAAATGAATTCATAGATCTCTAAATCATTGCCTTTTGATAACACCATGGCCTTCAAGATTATTTCAAGATTATTGTCTACATCCACTTGTTAGCTGCAACTCTACAGACATACTGAATCAATGGAACTTACATAAACATTGATTTAGCAAGTCTGCTGTAGGTAGGAAAGGTAGTGTGGAGTAGTGTTTGAACAGGACTTTGGGAGAATAATATTCAAATCCCCATGAAAACCCATTGAATAAGTTTGGGCAAATCTTACTCTTTGATGAATTATTATTATTATATTTATTTATACCCCGCTTTATCTCCCCCAAAGCGGACTCAAAGCAGCTTAACATAAAAGCATCAGCATAACTATTTTAAATATACAAAGATTAAAACAGGATTAAATATAAACAGTATTTAAAATATTGTAGTTAAAAGCCATTAAAACAAATTCAAAGTTAAAAACCACAGCACCCTATAAATTGATCTTAAATCATTCATCTTTAAAGGCCTGCCTGAATAATGAAGGAAGGCAGTTATAAAAACCCCTGAATAAACATTGCCTGAAAAACCCTGTGTTATGGTCACCTGAGGGTCACTAAAATTCAGAAGCAACTTGAAGCCACACAGTAACTCATGGCGGGATTAACAACTGTGTTTGCTATATGAGATAGATAAGTAATTGCCACTGCTGCTGTCAAGTCATAGGTGACCCTATGAATGAGACACTTTCATCAGATTCTGTTATTAACAAAACTTTCAAATGCAAAGCTGTGACTTCTTTAATTTAGTGATCCCACTTGTAAATGCAATCTTCTTCTCTTACCTATGCCTTTACCTTTCCCAAATATTGTCTTTTCCAATTCCAATAAATCATGATATGGCCAAAGCTCGCCATCTTCATTAGAATTCCAATCTTTGACTAACAACTAATGTGGTGCAGGTGTACATCATAACTTTTCACTTGTGGAGTATATCTGCAACTAACTCTAGATTGCCACCACAACCACCCTTGTGAGTTAGGTCAGAATAAGCCTGACCCCCGATAATAATAATAATAATAATAATAATAATAATAATAATAATAATAATAACTACAGTGCAATAATAACTACGAAATATGTCCAATTATGCTTGGAATGGTCCCGGATTACGATTGTGGATGGTATGATTTTAATAGTGATTATAATGTTTATATGTTTTAATGTG